CCTCAAATCTGAAGTTTCTCAACAAAAAAGTACACACACAAAATCTTACTTGTGGAACACTATTTAAATCGCCAGCAAGAATAACAGGAATGTTGTCCCATTCTTGGGATAGCTTGTAAGCTTTATCAACAAAAAGTCTGACCTAAATCATCAGGTCCCATGGAAAATTAGCAGGATCAATAAAATAAATGGGAAATTTGATTAACTAAAGGCAATTACCAATATTCTCTTCTAAAAACAAAGGAAACAGTCAGACACAATTTGAAGGAAAAATCATTAGTACCACTCCCGACCGAGGGGAAAAAGGTTTTTACACAGAAAGAATCACAAGCACAAACGAAATGCCTAGATGTTAAATGTAAGTGTAATGCAACCCCAGCCGCTGCAAAAATCAGACAAGTACCTGGCCCAGCTTGATGTCTCCTCGATTTGGGTTGAACAGCACATGTATATTTCCTACTAAAAATCTTCTATTTCTTGTAAATGGTGTCCTAGATGTAAATGGAAGTTCAAGAAACAAGGAGAACATACACAAAGAATTAGTGATTCAGCAAGGCTCTTTCATTTACAAAAGATACAATGTCTGTCCATGTATATGTGGGCAAGTTATTGTTAAGGCAAGATTTTCCACTTAAAAAACCAGATGAGGATGCAGCATATAGTAAACACTTTCCAAGGTTTGGGCCACTTCATCATCACCACTAAAAGATACCTAAATAAAATTACACCAAGCAATACATATATGAAATGACATATTAGACAATTGATGATTGATTCACTATGCAGCTGATTTAAGAGATGCAAAACTCACAATGCTGTTGGGCTGCATACATCAGATTCCAACGTATCATGGTTCACCTGCCCAATAGATGGAAATATAGAGTGATAAATAATAAAAATAAGAAAACTAACCATGCTACATAAAGGAACAGCTGACAAGAAAACATATTAGCATGGCTACAGTGCAGGGAAAAAAGCAATACCAGGAACAAGATGGTGGAATGAAGCTATGGGGAAAACTGGGAGAAAATGGTCACCAAATGTAGACCAGTTTAGCAGAAATGCCTGATCTTAAGTTTTAAATCCATTTTCACACAATTAATCAAATGCAGAATTGGTAAAAAGAGGCAATAAAATTTCCGCATCTGCAGTCTACACCACTTTTATAAATATCACATCATACAAACCTCAGCACTAGAGCAAAACATCAAACCGATATATGACAAGAATAGCACACCACTTGCACTAAGGACTGCTAGACATAATTATGTTACTAGAAGCAGCAAACTAAGTTATGGGAAATATTGGTAAATTAGTGTAATAATGTGATCACATAGATTGTGTCAATAAGAGAACAGATCAAACCCATAACAGAGATAAGAGAAACCAAAATTAATAATGAATCAAATCCTAAATACCTCAAAAATGCAAAGCTGGGCAACATTGTTACGAAGGCCAAACTGTTGGAACTCTATGTCTTCTTCATGCAAAAGGGTAAATCTGTTTTCAAAATATGGCCTAGCCTGAATTAGCAAAGTGACAGAGAGGGCAAACAATAGCAATAGAGAAGCAAACAAAGAAGAATATGATACACAAATAACATGAGAAGGAATGCCCGTATATACTATGTGCCAGAATTAGTACATTTTTATTTCCACCCACATTAAAATATAGAAGGATATTTAGACTGCCTGTCTGCCCAGTATTCATTGGCAAAGATTAGGCAATGGTAATTACCAGAAAGAGAAAAAAAGGGTAGGAAATGTTATATACAGGACGAGTTAGTAGAATAAGCAAAAACTTAGCAACATTAATCACTTAGGGGTAATGGAAACCCACAATTTGTCTTTCCAGAATACAGCACACCCGTCATATGCTTCCCCTGTGCGAGCCTGATGATTAATAATGCTAATCCATGTGAGCTAATAAACTCATTTTGGACCATAAAAAATTGATGTTTACACAAACACTACCGTATAATACCTTGTAAACACCTTTAAAGCCATCATTTTGGAGAAGATTATCCAAGTTATCAAAGCGATCAACCTCCTGAAGCCATATAGAAGGTCATCAGGATGCAGTCTTTGATAAACAAGAATCGATCCTATTCTATTATGTATCAACAATAACATAGATCTTCATAGATACAATAGGGAAGAAAAGTCAACTATGCTGATGTCTGTTAATTCCATTTTTAATTTTTCTAAGCTTCTTGCGGGTAGTGAGATGTTGAAATTCTAACATGTACAGCATGCCGTGCAAAACAGATGCTGATAATAAACTACCTGGAAACATATTATGCCAGCATTGTAGTTATAAACCTCCTCACGTATAAGTAATTTCCGACGGTCCCACTCCAAAAAACGATGTGGGATATTAGAATACAAATCCGGATGCTTTAACGCATTTTCAACACCGAGGATATTGTATGACACAACCACAATCTTATCTGCAAGAAAAGGAAAGGGTTGAGAAGAAAGATCACCGGATCAACATAAAATAGTACCACTACCCGATACAATCTCATCAATATATTGCCACGCATCCTCTAGTGTTTATCTTAAAATGTCAATCACACAGCACTAACTCTCCCTTTTCCCTCTTCACTTTCAACGCAGTACGTGAACATAAATCCAGAGGCAACGTTTAAGAGGAAATCAGAATTCACGCACTTATCCTCCAATTTTTTCTTCCAAAAAGCTATCTGTCGATTCCTTACCCTTATTGTTAAAATGATCTTCGGAAGAAAAAACCCATCTCCGAGAAGACACCTCGTTATTGGATTTTCTTGCCATTTTCTTTCTACGACCTCGAGAGGAAGAACGGAAGGCTTTGAATTGATTCGAAGTGTGCAAGCTCCGATTAGGCCTAGGGTTTCGGGTTACAGGCTCCGACTTCAGGAACAACCGCCGCTTCTTCATGTGAGTGCTAGAAGATTCCATTTGAGAAGACATCCTCCGCTTCGCCAAATGACTGGCGTTTGAAATTTCCGGTTTTGGCCTTTCGCGATTGGGATTCGTCATCCTGCCGCTATAATAGGATAATGACTCCGAATTAGGATAATTTAACTTCTAATCTTGTCGAACGGTCACAGAAACATAGGAAGGACACCAGGTTCCCCGATTGCAATTCCTTGGTTTCAAAGCCAATGCTATTGCGGTGATTCTTTTTCTCAATGAAAAGCCCCTATCTCTTCAGGCTTCCCGATGAGGTCCACGGTGGCACGAGATGAAGTTCACAGGCACGGCGAGCTCCGACGTTGGTCAAGAGTCCACAATTAGGGTCGTTGACAGTAAATAATGCTTCCAATTATATAAAATAAATATTTTAGAAATTACCCAAAAGTGTGTGTAATTTTACTTTGATTAAAAAAAATAACTGGATCGTTACTATTTTTAATAAATTTTCTTGGTCGATGTTTTAATGAAAAATGCAAAGTATATTATAACAGGGAAAAAATAATTACTAAAAAACCTAAATAATAATCTAAACAACCTGTAATAACAAATTTCAAGATAAGAAATGATAATTTTTTAGACTTATTTTATAATATTTTTTTTTGGATCTCATTATAATTTTTTTGAAGGAAAAAAACTCTGGCAAAAAAAAATATAACAAAGAAAAAAATTTTGGTAAATGAGATATTTATGCATATTTAAAAGCATTGTTAAAGTGCATTTTTGCCATTAAAATATCTCATAAGGTGGAATTGGTATTCTAAAGTACTATAATACTTAATGAAGCAATTTGGCTCCGGACTCTGTTAACATTCTGTTTTCTGCTGTGACTGACAATGAACATGCTTAATTGTTGCGTTCATATAAGATGCTTACTCTCATTATGATTTGGGAGGCAAATTAACGAGATATTTTTTTCACTTAAATAATATTTTTCATGGGATTAGCCGTATAATAGTTTTTAAAAGTTGGGAAATGACGTTGTTTCATTACATATATATATATTTTTTATCATACCAATTACTCCTTGCATGTTTAAGATTTTAAACTGACTTTTCACCCAAATTTACTTGAAATGCAATAAAGTTACAAGAAATGCATCTTCTTTTCGTTTGGAATGCTTCTTTCTCTACACCGTCCATCTTCATCCCTCTCTTCTTCTCTATCCTTTCAGCCTTAAAATAACAAAATCTTCGACTCATCTCAGATCTCGCCTTCTTCCCTATTTTCTGCATTGTCTATTTGGGAAAGGGGGGGGCCATATCCCCGTCTGGTCACCCTCTGCCTCTCTTTAAGAGGCCCCCCCTTTGCACCTGTCCTTGCTTACCAAATTTTTTTTATTGGAAAAGATTTCTGTAAAATTATAAATGATAGGGAGAATTATTACAAAGTTCCATAGGTGTGTCATTGCAAATAATTTCTCACTAAATCCTTCTGTCATGATTCATGAATCTCAATAATATCCTATGCTTTACACTTTTAATTGTTAACTACAATTAAAGTAAGACACGCACACATATTGAATCATGTTATTATGTAAGTTGGATTTTCCCTAATTATGTATCAATGCATTTGAAGAAAGGGCAGCACAAGAAAATGCAAATTTGTGCGGAGTTACATATAACATGCTCACACTCATTCATGATTTACCTTTTCGGATTTTTCATTCAAATACATTCTCTGCATTCAAGTTTATAAATGTAAAAAAAATGCAGACTAGATATTATATGATCTCTCAATAAAATTGGGATGTACAATAGTTGGACAGATTATTATCTAAACAGGTAATTATCTAACCTATATCTAACACCAAGTATCGGACAAAAATAGTACCATTAGCATATAGGCCTAAAAATCAAAATTTTAAACCGAGGAAATCGATGAATGTTCAACTTGAAAACCAGTTATTCATTCGTACTGAAAATCAGTCTAGTCCATGATTTCCAAAATGGAGGGTTTTGTCATTTTCCCCCCTTTTAAACTGGGGGGTTTTGTCCTTGGTTGATCTGGGCGATTCCCAAAATCAGTCAATTCTATACTATTTTACCATACCATTGTCCAATCTAACTAGGAATCAAATGAAAACTATACAAAGCTAATATATCAGCCTTCATTGAAATCAAATTTTCAAATGAGAAAATCTATGAATGTCCAACTTGAAAATCAGTCTGGTCTATGATTGCCAGAGGTGGGTTTTGTCTGTCCTTGATAAACTACAGTCACAGTTTCTTATGCCCCAGTAACAGTAAACTTAGTAATGTGACTAGCTCGAATTGTTTTGCGTAAATGCAGGTTCTATAATCTATCTCATCTTAAATGACTGGTAGGTTGCTAGCAATTACTCACTACCAGAATCCCATTCTTGCATGCTATATCATCACTCATCGTCTCTTCAAACCAGAAACATTCTATCCACACAAGCTTCCAAAAATTCACCAGCATATCCATGTGCATATCTACCTAACCAGTCTTCCTCAAATTTACTCACAGGAAATAAGAACAATCATCAAACACTCACCGTGATCTCTTTTTTCCTCCACATTCTCGCCAAATAAACAAACATGAGGAGCCATATCCAGTTTCTCTTGGGACTTGCGCTCTTCAGCATTATCTGCCTCGTTCAAACAAAATCCATCATCGAACCCTGCTCTTCCTCAGACTCCTGCTTTTCTCTTCTCTCCTTCGTCGTTCCCTGGGACTCCAAGCTCTCTGAAATCGCCTCGCACTTCCAGGTCAATGTCTCCGACGTCCTCGCCGCTAATTCCATCTTCCCGATATCACAGAAACTCTCCGATCAGATCATCAGATCCAAATCCGTCGTGAAGATCCCCACGTCGTGCCCTTGCGTAGACGGAATCCGAAGATCTATGTCCACGAACTACACGGTGCAAGCATCGGACACACTGGAGACCATATCGGAGGGATTCGGCCGGCTGGTGAGCGCGGACCAGTTAGCGACGGTGAACAGCATTAATGCGACGAATCGTTTAACGAACGGAGGGAGGTTGGTGATACCGTTGCCGTGCACGTGCTTGAATAACGTGAGGAACGGCGAAACGACAGTGTATATGTCGTATGTGGTGAGAGAGGGAGAGAGCTTAAGGAGCATAGCGTCGGGTTCCAAAACGACAGTGTCGGATTTGGAAGCTATCAATGGATTGGGTCACGCCACCGTCGAACCGGGGGATATCATTGCCGTTCCCATTGCAGGTTGGTTTGTAATCTGTCTTTTGTCATTTTGGGTACTTTTTCTTTTTTCTTTTTGGGTGCGGTGCCTTCTGCAGCAAGAATTTTTTAATAAAGAAAAAAGTATAAGAAGTATAATGGCCAAAAAGGAAATTAGAAGAAATAAGGGCAAGAGTTTAAATGCTTGCTGCTTGCTGCATTCGGGCATTGTCATTGCCTTGTCATGGCCTCATGGCTGATCCAATTTTAAAATATATTTTTGGCCTAAATATAATACCAAAATTTATCAGAACAGAAAATAGTTAATATTATTACTTATTAGAATTTATTTAGAATATAAAATCAAAATTACTACTATTTTTCAGTTTTAAATATAAGAGTTAGTTTAACTTTTATTTTGATTTTAAATATAAAAAATCTATTTTATCTTTCATATTTATCTATTTTTTCTTAGTTAGTTCTTGTAGTAATAGTAGTTCTAACTAATTCATTTAATTCGTAAGAATATTTTAGAGAATACCACACATTTACTATAAATAACTGATTTAACTAATTTTTTAATTTATTTAAATTAGTTAGGTAGCTTTTATATTAAATATGGAATTAATAAAAAGTAGTTTGGGGGTTGAGCACTTGAAGCCGAAATTGGAAGAGTTGTTGCAGACCTGCAGATGTGCATGGGGTGGTGGGGACTCTGGCCTTTGGATCTACATGGCTATAAAATCCACTGCAAAAATATAAATAATTTTGAGAAAGAGAGAATTAAATTAGGAAAATCTCTAAAAATAACTGGTAAAATTTAAAATTTTAAATAAAAAATTACTACTAAAATGTGTTGTCATTTGTTTTCGAGTGTAGTTATTTTTTTTACGAGTGTATTACCCAATACTAATTTCAACAATTATTTTTTTGGAATTTTCCCAATTAAATTCTCCTGAAATATTGAAAATTTAAATGAGTATTTCAAATTTACAAAAATGCCAGATAAGTTTAAAGGCACTGTTTAATAATTGATTTTACTGCTTCTTACGAGGATAAAAAAAAAACTCTCTCCTCACTGGTCGTTATAGAATTTCGGTCAAGTTTAGTTAATGTGGACTTTTATTTTTTGGACTGAATAGTTAATGTGGACTTGACTCTCCTATCCTTTTTTCTCCGACCAGATAATCTACTATGATTCGGTCCAAAAAACCTGACAACCATTTCTACCAAAAAAACAAAACTGACAACCATTGACGCATTAAAACTTCTTCCTAGCATCACATTCCTTGGGTACTTAGCGCAGAATCTAAATAGTAAGTTGATACTCCCTCTGTTCCTTATTATAAGAGACGAATAACCGGATTACGTTAATCAAAAAAATAGTTAAAATTAGTTAAGAACAATCAATATATAAAAAGTACTCCCTCCGTTCCTTATTATAAGAGACGAATAACTGAATTACGTTGATCAAAAAAACAGTTAAAAGTAGTTAAGAACAATCAATGTGTAAAAAAATATAATTTTTTTTCAAAAATACCCTCATTAATAAGGAGAGAGAGTATGAGAGAGAACAATTAAATTATTGAAAGAAAGAGAAGTGAGAGGTAGAGAGTGTGTGAATTGGAGACAATAAATATGGGTAAAATAGGAAATCAACACAAAAAAATAGAGACAACTTTTAAGTGTCTCTTATATATAGGAACATGCCATAAGCACCAAATGTCTCTTATAATAAGGAACGGAGGGAGTATTATTTTTTTCCAAAAATGCCCTCATTAATAAGGAGAGAGAGCATGAGAGAGAACAATGGTAAATTATTAAAAGAAAGATAAGTGGGAAGGAGAGAAAATGTGAGTTGGAGACAATAAATATGGGTAAAATAGGAAATCAACACAAAAAAGTAGAGACAACTTTTAAGTGTCTCTTATATATAGGAACATGCCATAAGCATCAAATGTCTCTTATAATAAGGAACGGAGGGAGTATTATTTTACATATAAGATTTATTTCATATATTTATTAATTTTTCTAAATTAATCTCATTGATATTCTCTTAACAATAATGAAGTAGGAGAGTAAATGAAAGAATTGAGAAAGACACTAAGGATGTTTTAGAAAAAACATGTTATATTAACTAATTTAACTAGTATTATTTATCTACTCAAATTAGTTAACTAAGTCTTATTAAAAACCGGAAGAGTACAAAATATCTTATCAAAAAACAAAATAACTTATAAATTATATAACTATCAAGCTTCTATATGAAATGACTAGAATAATTAAGCTAATAACAACTTTACCGAAGACATCTCTGAATTTTATTTTCATGTTATATAACTATACTGTACTAAGTTACATTTAAAAAAAAAGATTATCATAATATTATTGTAAAAACAAATATAAATATGACTAGTCTATTACAATAAAGGAGTTTATTATAGTGAATTAATGTTTTGATGAAGTACACGTAGATTCATATGTAATTATATGGTGTAGACTTGTACCGTGGTTTGCATTTGCAGCATGTTCTTCAGCAACACTGAATTGGTACAACGAGTCTCTCATCGTCCCTAATGGCTCCTACGCTCTCACTGCCTCTCGCTGCATCAAATGCTCCTGTAACCCCACTGATCTCAGGTCATTACATACATACATATATATATTCCACTTTAGTTTCCATGTTTTTACTCATTAAATGTTTTAACTAGATCTTATATTAAAAGTTGGACGTACATATGTTTTATGATTGCCTTCTCTTTGTGGCATGTATATATCTATAGGCTGCAATGTTACCCATCTGGTCTACCAGTTCCTTGCTTCAACTTACAGTGCAAAGAATCCAATCTTGTAATTGGCGACCAACATGTCACTTATTTCAAACCTGGCTGCAATGTCACTCAGTGTCTTTATCGTGGCCATAGAGGCGGCAAGATTCTCAGAAGGTACCGTCCTGCCTAATACACATTGTTATTTTTCATAGTCTCTGAATAAACTTTAGTTTTGATTTCTGTAATCTTAAATTATTAATTTTAGTCTTTATAGTTTCATTATTTTTTTTTATCTTAGTTTAACTAATGGTTTCTATTCGTTTAATGAGTTTTGATCTTGATCTCTAAATCTAAACTCGAACAAAATTTTTATGAAAACTATAGGGATCACTCATAATTTGAATGGCTAAAACTTAAAACGGGATTGAGCTGTGATAAGGACCAGCAACAATATAGTTTATAAACAGGATCTTATAATTAGAACCAGAGGTAGTATATAAATTAAAGTGCATGCTGTGTAATTGATAAATAATACTCTTCCGGTCCTTAATATAAGATCTATTTAACTAACTTGATTAGATTAAAGAATTTAGGTAAGTTAGTTAATTATAAAAAATATGACATATTTTTTCTAAAACACTATAATCCTTTTTCTTAATATCCTTCTCCCATCTTCTACTTGATTATGGTTAAAGAAATATCTGTAAAAGTAATTTAGAAAAAATTGATAAATATAAGAAATAGATCTTATATTTAGGACCAAAATCAATTTAACAATTAGATCCTATATTAAGAACCAGAGGAATAATATAAATGGAGTCTTATAATTAGAACAGAAGGCAGTATATTGCATCACTCCAACAACTCAACTAAGAAAACAACCCAATGAAATTTGAGATTATGTTATAACAATATTATATTAGAGCTAATTTGTGTGTTGATTGTCTTATTGCAGTGTGTCGAAATCTTCTTATCTCAAGTGCCCCGGTAAGTTCACTCATGATAGATACAGACATATGTATCATCTTCATGTGTGTGTGTGTATAATATCATCAAGAGAGGTTTCAGAATTTCTGATTATGGCTATTTAAATATCAATTTTTATGCAGAAAATTTAACTTATAATGCAGCATCTCCTTGGCCATCCATAAGTTTAAATCCCGCAATAATGCCATTTGGGGCACTTTCTCCATATCCTTCACCTAGTCCTGTTTCTGATGCTTCCATGCACACGGCTCAAGTTTCAATGGAGTTGCTCCTATTACTACTTTGGATTTGTTTCCTGTGATTAATCGATCAATGAAATTACGTTTATTATTATCGGCTTTAGTTTCCAAGGATATTGTATATTTATTAATTATTAGTGAGTACAATGACTGTCCCAAAAGTGTATGCCTAATTGTACAAGTGGCAGCCGGCAGGTATTGATTATAACAGATGGCTCATTATCACCATTTAGACATGGTGCTTCGGTTCAAATAGAATGTAAATACAAAAGATAACTTCAGGTCTATGAAAACTATCCTCCAAGCGCATGGCTCATATTTAGATCCCATTTGATATGCGATGTTGAGAATAAGAGATGATGATTGGGGTTATAGTGTTTAGAATGAGTGGTTACTTGTGACTTGACAAACCCGCATATGAAATTGGAAAATACGACGTAATCCCAATCACAATTTTTACCTGTCATTTTCATTACTTCATACTAAACATGACCTTAATGTTGGACATATTGTAAAGCATATTGTTGAAAGTTATTATGTTTTAATTAATAAGGCATTTTATGAAATGCAATTAAAAGTAATTGATATGATTATCTCTGAAATATCCTCCATAAATAAACAATCTACATGATTGAACCATTAATTGTGTTCATTTGTCGTTTAAAAAGTCAACCGTATGCAATGAATGATACTCCTCCGGTCCTTATTATAAGACTCCATTTGACTTTTTATTTGGTCCTAATTATAAGACCCCAATCCATTTTGTCTCTTATATTTATGCATTTTTTTCCAAGATAATCCTTCTAATAATGATAGTTTTAGCCAATATACTTAATTAGCAAGGATATTTTAGGAATGACAACACTTATTTGTTATAAATAACCAACTTAACTTACTTCCTTAATCTCCTCAAATAAGTCAATTGGGTCTTATAATTAGGACCGGAGGAGTACTACTATACTTGAAAATATTAGAATGACTCCGGAATGTTGACTAATTGCATTGACCCATATGAGCTAGTTTAAAATACCTTGTAATAATAACAAGTGAAGGGAATAGTAATTTTATGGAGATTTTCAAAAGTGATTCCATTCATTTAGATTAGGGTTGTGCAAAAACCCAGTAGTCCGGTATGGTTCGGTCCAACCCGAGCAAACCCGGTTTAGAAAAAATTAGTCTAAAACCAGATTGGACCGAACTAGTCTCATCGGGCTGGACTGGATTAGGGACTGGCCCCTCAGGCCAGTTGGTCCAGTCCAGTCTAGCCCTTTTTTTTCAATTATTATTTATATAATTTTAATTTGATTTAATTTTTCTATATAAGTTTTTTGTCTATTTAAATAATCAAGATTTATCTATTAACTTCCTAAGAGTATGCGTATATATTTTCTACAATACAAGATCTATATTAATTAGGATTAATTAATAAAACATGGCATTATTGGGAAATTGAAAGGGAATGATCAAATTTGATGAACTTTGGATTAAAATATATGTAAAATTTTATATAGTAAGTTACAATCTTGCCTCCTATTAAAGAAAAAAAATTTAAAAGAAAATTAAATTTAGGTCCTGGACAGTCCTGGACTGGTCTAGGCAATCTAGAGGATTAAGTCCAGTCCAACCCGACCTCGAGTTGGTACTGGACTGGACCAGACCTTAGGCTGTCTTTTTCAGCCCGAGGTCTTTACTGAACCAGATTTTGAGTTGATAACAAATCCGATCTAGTCTGGTCCATGCACACCCCCTAATGTAGATAATGTTTTCATCCTACTTCTTAAGTTTCCAATACAATCAATGAATTATTAACTCAAAATCTATCTGATATACTTGAAACTCAATTTATCAAAAAGGGAATTTTTCTCTATAAATATTTTAAATTATTTACCTATAACATATAAGTTACAAACACACGATATCATTTTGAATTTCAACTAATCATCTAATATATTGTGAGCACGCTCTTCTCCACTCGGTTAAGGGGTTAAAACCCGTTTAAGCTTGGGTCCTCTTCAATTAATGGTATATTGGGCCTGAACTGGATCAATATCTACGCCCAATGGGCCAAGCCCAATCACAATAAATGGCGGAGTCATTCTTTTACTTGCTTCGCCATTGGGCAAACAAGTATCCAAAGCTTCGCGGAGGGTCCAATAACCGGTTAGCATCCGGTAAGGGGTAACCGAAAGGCACGAGAAATACAGTACGCAGTTTCTTGAAATGAAAATGAAACAATACAGTCTACAACCATCACTGGGCATTTTTGCAGATTTGCCACTAGAATTCGCCATGATCCCCGACCAGATGGTATCTCTTTCCCTTTCCCTTTTCTTTTCCTCCAATCATTCAAAATCGATCTCCCTCCATTTTTTATATTCGGTATGTTTTCTGTTTTTCCAGGGATTCTTTGCTTTCGTAATTGAAGTTTGACGTTCGTGGCGCATACTCCTAGATCCTCTGTTTTCTCAAGTTCATTATCGAAGCACCTGATCCTCCTCAATTTTATCCTCAACTTCCAAATTTTTGTTCTGGCTTGCGCTTTCAGGGTGCGCTCTATTTCGATTGGGAGGTACTTCTTGCAATGCGGAACCGTATAAATTAGCTAGTATAAAATCTGAGTTTTATTTTCTACGAGTTAACTTTGCAGAGATTGACGAACTTTGATTAAGCAGCAGAAATGCTTACATGCATAGCTCGTCCAAAGAAACTCGGGCATGAGTCACTGAATCAGCCCGATGATTCCGATTCTACTAACCCAAGCGCCGCCAAGAGTCAAGCTACCAAATCCCTCACTTCTCAGGTACTTAAATTCTTCTTCTGTGGTTTCAATTAGAAGTTTCGTCCGATTGAAGTATCAAATTGAAATCTCTATGTTTCGTTTAGCTCAAGGATATGGCGTTGAAGGCATCCGGAGCTTACAAGCATTGCGCCCCCTGCACCGGACCACAGACACAGAATCGACTGAGAACCAGTACTGAGTCAGACGCGGACTCGGATCGGTTCCGATGGTCCTACAGACGAACGGCGAGCTCAAGCTCGACAACGACGAGGACATGGGGAAAGGAGATGGAAGCGAGGCTGAAGGGGATTTCGAGTGGGGAGGGGACGCCGAACTCTGCCAGTGGACGGCGGGTGGAACCGGTGGTGCTGTTCGTCGAAGAGAACGAACCTAAGGAGTGGGTGGCGCAGGTGGAGCCCGGCGTATTAATCACCTTTGTATCACTTCCGAGCGGAGGGAATGATTTGAAGCGAATCCGGTTCAGGTACGCCTCCAATTCCTACTCATAAGGGGGGGACACTAGGCGTCGTATTATTTCTTTAGGTGCCGTTTTAGTTTTGATCGGACGGTGACTGTTCGTGACAGTTTTGGTCAAGGTGGACATATGGAATTGGACCCTGCTGTACCAAACTAACAGTGATGTGATGATAATGACTATGAGTGCCTTTTCCTACGGTGAACTGTCAATTTGTCTCACATCACTAATGGTGCATGGACAGCCAAGCTTTAGGTGATCCTTGATTTAGGATTAGTGGTTCATACCGATTTTAAATATAAAAATTAGTTGATTAATTTAAATAGATTAAAAAAATAAGTTAAGTTAGTTATTTGTAATAAATATGTGTCATCTTCTTAAAATATCTTTACTAATCAAGTGTCTTGGCTAAAACTATCATTATTGTAAAGATTATTTTAAAAAATAAATAAATATGAGAGACAAAATGAATTAAAATCTTATATTTAAGACCGGAATAAAAGTCAAATGAATTTTTATATTAATAATGTGAAGTACTACCTCCGGTCCTTAATATAAGACCCTATTTGACTTTTATTTTGGTCCTAGATACAAGACCCCAATTCACTTTGTCTCTCATATTTATGTATTTTTTCCAAGGTAGTCCTTCTAATAATTGTAGTTCTAGCTAATATAGTTGATTAGTAAGGATATTTTGAGAAAGACAACACCTATTTATTACAAATAATTAACTTAATTTCTTTCCTTAATCTCTTCAAATTAGTCAATTGGGTCTTATAATTAGGATCGAAGATAGTATTACCTTAATATATGCCTGATTGTCCTATTATAGCCCTGATGAATTTTTCATTTTAAAATATAGTATGTCCCCACTTTGGGCTACTTCTATATTTCAATTGATAAAGTTAGAGTAGAGCCTAATAGAGGCTACCGATTTAAAATCTCATAATGTAACAAAAAATGAATAACATGAATGACTTTTTTTTTAAATTGAAACAAGATGAATGTATAATATATTTAAAAAAATAATCATATACTTGTTTATTAAAATTATTATTACGAGACTAATATACATTGTATTTTCACTGGGAAATGTAAAAGTAGCTCTATAAAAAATAAAAATTTTCCTCTATGATGGCGTAGGATAAGCAATGATTTACGCCTGGCCATTCACAGCCCATTTTGTTGGAGTAATGTCGCAAGATAATCAAAATAAAAACAATCAGCACTGTATCAATAAATCAAGGAATCATTGAATTGACATCTCTTTATGAAGTGAAAATTCTTTAAAACTTTCTCTCTTTCTTAAACAAAGTAGCATGACCCTTCCGTCATAGCATCCAAAGTCCAAATCCTATTCCATAAATGTGAAAGGGCTTAAGTAGGGGACCCCATTCCCTTGTAATTTCACGCCCTTCCCATAAAGCAATAAAAGAAAGTTCAAAAGGAGAGCTTACTGTGGCCTGTTTATTGGCGGTGGGCCAGTGTTGATTTTATTAGGTCCTCTAACCCGTCTTTGTTGTCTGGTGGGAGGAAATTCTTGTCTTGTGATCTTGTCATGACAGGAACTTTAGTATTAACTAAACCAATAAACAAAAGCTATATATATTCACGCTAACGAAATTTTGAGAGATCTCTAAAGCTTCCATGTAGAAAGAAATCTATTATTTGTTTGATTTACCTTTCTTCATTTTTAGTTCGAATATATAAAATTATCAAATTTTCAAATAAATTTTACTCTTGATAAGTGTTGTCCGCGGCCAGCTGCTGTTTATATGCTTAATCTGCCAGGAGTCAGCTGATAAGTTTGTACAAAAAGCTTTAGCTTTAGTATTTGTCATCTTATATGTGCGCTATGCTGAGGAATGCCCTCATCATCGGCCACTCAGAAACTGTATACATGACAAAAGTGAACTCTTGTTTCGTGGGCACCAAACACAGATTGAGAAGCATAACTTAAAAGAGGGTTGTTTGCCATATTTTTATTTAACTTATTGTATGATTGAAGCTCAAAGAGAGTCTGCATATGTTGCTGGTCCTACTTGGTGACTTGTGGTGCAATCCCATATAATACGAACAGAGATTGACGATTTTTAGCCATATATTATTAAATCCTGTTCGTCATCGAAATCATTTTATGTTTAGGTGAGTTTAGTGGTGTGGTTAATATTAATTAATTTTGGACCCACCATGTTTTGATTGCTTAGACAAACCCCCCAGCCAAGGTCAAATGTTGGCCTCAGAACTGCTTTATTCCATGCACCGCCTGACCCAGTTCTGCAATTATTCATTTGAGTATACTTTGTCAAAAAGTATCCACTTGAGTGGCTCGCCATTATTGAAAACAGCGTTAAGAACTTCTTAAAAGTGTGTCAAGCATAACACACATAATAATACAGTTAATATGAAGCAAAAAAATAACATTATAGTCATAATTGAAACTTTGGAGCTATCACAAGACAATATAAATCCTGTGATTGAAGACCCATAAATTTCTTTTAAGTTTGTTGTTTTAGATTTTTTTTTTCATTTTCCTTAAAATGTTAAAAACATTCCATAATAAGTAAATTTCAGCAAATCCATGGATCTCAGCTTCAGAGGATCCATATTCATCACAAGAGCCGCTCAAGCAACACGGGCAACACAAAAATGTTGGTAAGGCGGCCAACTTGATTCAGTTGGAAACTAACGAGGGCCGAGTCTAGTGAAGGAGACTAGTTTGACACAACGTCACAAATCAAGATCTGAATTCCTATTGGAAAAAGTATCACATTTGGTGTCCAGCAGTATTTGCTTTTAATAGAAGTATATCTGTGCCTATTAAAAAAAAAACTTGATTTAGTCGGGCCTAACAACGAACTCGATTAGGTTGGGTTAAATTTTGGGCCAGTATCTTGGAGAGTTTTGGCATCCAATTGCGTGTAGCCGTGAACATTGTTTTAGGGTCCACCTGTGTTGGGGTTTCCGTGCTGTGTCCTAGTGTTTAATTCTTAAGAGACATAATAAAAAAACAAAGTTATTGATCATTTTCAGTTTTTATTAGGCTCGACTAACTAAAACCAAAACAGTCTTAGAGAATGTTTGGATTGGTGTTGGACAAAACTGACTTCTAGCTTAATTGACTTTTGTAACTGAAGTTAGAGTAAAAGTCAGTTATGGTATGTTTAGATAAATACTTTTAAAAAATCAGTTGAAAAAGTTAAAAGTTATTTGGATGATTAATAAAAAAGTTAATTTAGTTGTAAAATGACTGAAAATGGCATGAACTTTATTAAATAGTAGTGTTTGAAATTTTATATTTTTAATGTGATAATAGTTTTAAAAAATACATAAAATTATTATGATAAAATATAAATAGTTTATTTGTGAAATTATAAAATAAAAATATTTGCTATGGAGAAAAATTTGAAAACACATTGTAGATAATTAATTAAATATATATAATGGACAAACATAAATATAAATTAAAATTTATTTGGTCTGAATAAAAGCTCATTATGCTAACAAAAGAGATGAGGTAGAGGGGACAATGTGAGGGTAAATCTAAGATGCTCATTTTTAATGATTATCGTTTAAAACTGCAGTTTGAAAAGTCAAATTTTCTTCCGTTGTGTCCAACTGAGGTTGGAGGCCAGAAGTTGGTTGGAAAAGTTAGTTCAGCCAAACAAAATTTTTTGTCTAACTCAGTTTGCAACCTCAATTTCATCATTTCCAAGACACTTTTGCCGTTAAAAAGGGTAATCTAAACATGCCCTTAGCAAATGCCTTAGTAGCGTGCAGCAGTGCACCAGAAATGAAAGTTTAATTATTTTCTTAAATGAAAGAATTAGAGATAAGGGTGAGGTAGGGGAAGTAATCATAAAATGCAGATGCTTTGTGCTATGCTCAAGTACTTCAGTTATAAATTATAAAATGTCATTAGGATTAAGGACTTAAGAGTCATTGGCAGTGAATTGAGTTTTGGCTTATTTTCTATGTACAGTCGGGAAATGTATAATAAATGGCAGGCGCAAAAATGGTGGGCAGAGAACTATGAAAGGGTCAAGGAACTTTACAACATTCAGAAGCTTAATCGCCAAGCCTTCCCTCTTCCAACACCACCAAGATCTGAAGATGAGGTAAACTCTGGATTTATGTATATCTTAGACATGTGATCATACTACTCAGTAATTTCTAGCTAAATTTGCTTGGAGCAAATGGTTACAGACGTGTGGCGCATGTATCGCTCAGTAATATTTCTTCCATTTGGTAGTTGTGCACTTACAGAGGAGCAACGGCGACTCTAGCAAATGTTTATGTGCAATCTTTTTTCCCCCCCCCCCCTTCTAGTTATGCCATTTTCATATTACTAAAAGTTTCCCTTCTTAAAGAGGTCAAAGCATTTTTGTAATGTTTTCAATTCATTTTATTCTATTTTTCACGGGCAAAGAAAGCATTGACAGCTGAAAGAAGTTGTTTTCATTTTGTTTATTTAATGGGTTTGTGGTTGTGACAGCTCTCAAAGCTTGAATCAGCAGAAGATATCCCTGTGACACCCCCATTAACCAAAGAACGATTACCTCGTAATCTAAATCACCCAACGGCGTTGGGAACGGGATACTCGTCATCGGATTCTTTTGACCATCTTTCAATGCAATCTCGCCATCATCATGAATCGGGTGGCCTTAACTCAACACCTAAAGTCTCCACCATAAGTACGACCAAGACAGAAGCATCATCCATGGACGCCTCTATCAGAAGTAGCTCATCCAGGGAGGCTGATCCTTCAGGGGATATATCAATCAGCAATGCTAGTGATCAAGACACTGAATGGGTCGAACAGGATGAACCTGGGGTTTATCTTACCATCAGAACATTACCAGGCGGCAAAAGAGAGCTAAGACGAGTCAGATTCAGGTATGTTTGCCGCCAACTATTGGGAAAAATAGGAATCAGAAATAGAAGAAATTATTGTGTAGATACCTAAGGAGGATCTATGTCATAAAGAGAGGAACTCATAAAATTCTGACTGGTTTGGTTGATGAACTTAAATACAATATCGGGTCTTTATTATACGTAAAACGGTTATAATGCAGATGCTAGGTAACTTTTCTGGCAAACTAAACTCTACTAAAATTTCTTTGAAAATGCGGATCCTCCTTTATACTTGAGCATGTGCCTTGTAAAGCCGGTGACATAAGTGTTCTCAAATCCTTTTATGGGTTTGAGGCTTCAGATTGTCGTCACTTGGTAACTAGAAAATTTTATTTCAATCATTTTGATGTAGAACCATATAGAATTGATTTCCGTGCATTTTCTCATTTGTGGTGCAGCCGAGAAAGATTTGGGGAGGTGCATGCTAGATTATGGTGGGAAGAGAATCGAGCCAGGATACATGAACAATACTTGTGAGATTGAGGAATAATACTTCACAGAGCCTGGAGGTGGTGTTGCTTATGAAATTGTTTCATACCTTGTCTTACCATACTAGAGAAATCCCATTATAGGTAAATTAGATATCACAAGAGGTGTTCTTGGCACCTCTCCTGTTTTAGGCCGCATACATAAACTCGTCACACTAGCTATATTTGTGTGATCAGTTCAATTTTTCTCTTGAATGTATGTGGTAAATTTACCTTTTGCTATTTCCTTCACATAATGGTGGATAAGGGTGCCAATTGCTATGTTACATGAAAGTCGGGTGGGTGTAAATTTCTATAGTAAATCAGATATTGGGTACAAGAATGAATGAATCTATCAATTGCTTTTTGTTTCCACTTCTCTATTCGTGTCTAAACTTTCCCGTTGAGAATGACGTTTATTCTTATAATCTTATTATTCCCAGGGGCAACCTTTGAGTCAGAAAAGGAGGCAAGAACTGGATTAGTTAATATTGGGCTCTGTAGTCAGCCCAAACAATGCTTGTCTTTGTAATTGGGCCTAGGAGAGGCCCAAAATGCCCCTTTCTCTAAGTGAGGCCTTAAAAATAGGAAAAAATAGCCAACTTCGGAAACAATAGCATGTAAATTAGGCGTCTGGCAGTTGTGTTATGCAAAGCCGCCCAATACTAATCTGGTAATCTCGAATCTTTTGGATACCTGTCGTTAAGTTCTTTCATTCTAGTAAGAGAAAAATGTGAATGTGATGAGAAATGGCACTTCTGTATTTTGGGTAAATAAAAATACAGTAAATATTGAAATGAAAATTACTCTATTTTTCATGCACTCGCTTTTTATTTATATCCATGATGAATCAAACATAAAAAGATTGTTTTCTCAAAATAATTCCAAAAAAAATAATGCTAATAATATGATCCACAATACAAAAAAATTATTATTTCATCGGTGAAAAAAAATTATCATCTTTTATCCAAAACTAACTTTGCTAAACCAATCATCCCTATAGAAGGGCAAAAGGAACATGATTCGGACAGAAGAAACGAAACCACGTGACAAGGTATTTGTTAAATCTTGTTAAATTACTGTAGACATAAAAACAGAATTTAATAACTGTGTTCACTCAGAAACGCCATTGATATATGATAAAGCTGAAACGCCACCAGCAGCTACCAGCATCGATGAAGGTGGGTGAGTTCTGAAAAGATAAGCCGCACGCGCGGAAGTCACTTTCCCCTGTCCCCTTTTTTCCTCCGAAAGAAAATTCCCTCCATCGCTTCAAATCCAACACTGTCATATCACCCTCTTCATCATTGCCTCTCAAACCCTTTTTTTCTAAACAATTTCTCTTTGTCTCTCTTTGTCTTATATTTCTTCTCTTCCTTGTTAACCTAAAGCTCTACATTTACAAAACACCTTAACGTGATCTCTGTATCACACACATCTTCTTCTAAATCTCACACGCTTTCTCTCTTTCTTTCTTTCTCTGTTTTCTCACATGACCCTCTTGCCTTCTGTTTATTAATTAATTTCCCGTTGCAGCTTTTGACACTGTCTGTCTCCAACATTACAGCTCGTTTCCTCTCTTAAACTAAACTTCTCTGCCTTCTTCTCTCCTTCGTGTTTATAAATTCTGTCTTCTTCTTCTTTGTTCAATTGTGCTTGAAAAAACATGTGCACTGAGAGATCCATGCGAGACCCAGAATCTTTCCCACAGAGAAGAAGAACCCCGTCTTTCTCCTCTAGCCTCCTTGACGCAATTTACCGTTCGATCGACGAGTCAAAATCCAGTCTTGGTGAGGATCTTGAACTGGGGGTCTCGAAAAAGAGCAATTTCACCTATAAACAGAGTGTGTATATGGAGAAAGGAGGGAAAGTGAGGATGAATCTTCGTCGAGCCGTTATGATGGAGGATTGGATGGAGAAACAGAGTTCTATGTTGTTTAATTCTTCTTCAAGCTCATCGGAATGTAGCTCTCGTGGTGCAGCATTTTCATTCTCAGAAACAGAAGCCAGCTTCAGAAAACTAAGGCCAAAGCTCAGATCCGAGAGGACCCAGAAGCATGAGAAGCCAAAGAAGGTGAAGCAGCCAATTTCACCTGGAAGTCGAATAGCTAGCTTCCTGAGCTCCATCTTCAATTCTGGGAATGTGAAGAAGGCCAAGATGTGTTATGTTGGAGCTGTAGAAGATGTTGGCCTTGAGAGAAAATCAAAATCACCATGCTTATCCACTTCCTCTGCTTCTTCCTTCTCGTGCATGAGGAAAACTCCTAAATGCCAGAAGCCCAACAATGGCAGCGTCAAAAGATGCGTGAGATTTTACCCAGTTAGTGTGACCCTAGGCGAGAACGAAAACTCCCAACCGTACCACAGTGATCCAAACAGTGTTCGGAAATTCTCAAGAAACCCTTCAATGAAGAAGTTGAAGAGCTGCTCTGTAGTGGCTAAGGAAAACAGAGCAGAGGCAAAACAAGCAAATGGCGAGTTAAATTTCAGAGGGTTTTATGGTCGTAATAATGAACATGAGGTTCATGAAGATGACGATGCTTTGAGCTGTTCGAGTTCAGATTTGTTTGAGTTGGATCATCTTATAGGAACTGCAAGGTACCGAGAAGAGCTTCCTGTTTATGAAACTACTGATTTAGAAACCAACAAAGCCATTGCTAATGGTCTTCGAGTGTAGTCTTGTAACCTTCAAAAACAAAATCATTCTATTTCATTCCTCAATTTGTGGAATTTTTCATTTAATAATGATTTATGTATTTTTTTCCGTTTCCCCTCTAATAAAGAGACAAAAATTATGCATTTATTTAAATGTAGATATTTAATTTTTTTAAAATTAGATTAAATTTATTCAATTAAAATTTATTTGAAAAAATAACTTAAATATACAAGAATAAACCTATTTTTTACCCTAACTCCTAGATCTACTTGAAGAATATTCTACTTGGCTTTATTTTGATATTTTTCTTTGTAAGGCAAAAAAAAATCATTTTAATGAAATCCTTATGATTTAATTAATTTGAACAATAATTTTTATTGAAAACCAAGAAAAATTATTCATAATAAATATATACCAGTTAAATATTAAAGTTATTCATAATAAAATAATCACTACTGTTTCCTTGTTTATTAAGAAACATGGAATGTAATCTCAACTTTACTTCTTCCAACTCTATCATTTATTCGGGTTTTCTCGATTTGTGATGTTATTCTTGCGTAGAGACCATGCTAATCTTTTCTGTATCGTTCTAATTTTATCAGATGTCCCCGAAGGGACATTTATTCCGGTTTTTAAGCCCACGTAAGTTTTGTACATTTACAAATTCTATAATCCAAAACTAGTAAATATTATGACTTCTTCTTAACCATAAATAAGACTTAATTGCTAGAGGTTTTATTATAGGTGCATATATATACAGAGAATTTTACTACGATTGATAACATTGTTAGCGATTGAGAGTCAATAGATATATAATATTTAAAATGCGAAATTAATAAAATTTTAGTTCGTTGTAACTCAATTCCTAAGTTTTAATTCGGTGTAACTCATTGTAATTTTAACTATTTAAAACGTTGATTAGCACATTAAAAAAATAAAATGATAAGGGACTATAATTGTTTTTTCTCTAACTTCGGGTTAATATTTTAAATGGCCAAATTATATATAAAGATTGAGTTTTAACCAGGTCAAAAGTATAGAATTTGAAATGGCACTAAGTTAAAATTTAGGGATTAAGTTATAATTAAGACAAAATTATAAGAAATAAATGGTTAATTTCCCCCCCTAAGAATGGCTTATATTATATAGAAATAAAAGTACACCTAATGGCTAACAATGAATCTGGTAATCCATATTTGGGTGGCAGGGTTTGTTAAGAGATACCAAGACAAACTGAAAAGAGAAAAGTGAAAAGCAGCCTCTCAACGATAAGAAATGAAAAGGCTTTTTTTAAAAGGAAAAGCTTAGCCTTTTCCACCAGCTTGGCACATGGGTTCAGTGATTGACTTAGTTAAAAGAGAAAGAAACCACTTAACCACCCCCTAACCTTTTAACTTCATGCAACATTGGAATTAAATATTCTTCCGGTCCTTAATATAAGATCCATTTAATTAATTTGATTAGATTAAGGAAGTTAGGTAAATTAGTTAATTATAAGAAAAGTGACACATTTTTCCTAAAACACCATAATCATCTTTCTTAATACCCCCTCCCCCTCTTCTACTTGATTGTGGTTGGGGGAGTATCCATAGGGGTAATTTAGAGAAAATTAAAAAATATAAGAAATGGGTCTTATATTTAGGATCAAAACCAACTCAAAAATTGAGTCCTATATTAAGGACCGGAGGAGTATATCATTACCAGTTCCCATATTTGCACTTCTTGCCCGTTTCAAAGCTCATAATTACACTCTCAATTTGAACTCCCCTAGCTAAACAATATATAGTCAAAAAGCATCACTACAAGTTGGTTTGTTTCAATTTTCATGTAATAATAAGTGAACCAAGAATTTAATAATTCTGGAACGAGGCGTGGACTGACAAGGAACATAAACCAAAGGGACAAAGCAAAACCACAAGAGTACGTACGTACGAAGAAGCAACAATATAACATTAATTTACAGTGAAGACTGAGGATTTTGCAGAGAATAATAGCGTGGGAAGATAGAGCTAAAACAGGCAGAAACAGAGGAATGACATGCACAAAACAGAGTGGCAGTGAGTTTAAGGGCTCATGTTTCTCACCAACCTGACACAGCTTGTGATGCCTTCAATATTTTATAATACACTCACATTGTGTTTGCATTAATAGCAACTTCATGTGAAGAAACAGAAGCAATAGCACTCGATCCAAACACCATCTGTCATTCCCCCAACCCCAACCCATTATATCTATATTTAATTATTGTCTCAAGTTTTATCGTATTACTCTGAATAATTCTCAATCACTCCTCGAATAAACACTCAAAGGGGAGGGATAAAACAGAGAAAAAAAATTGTTGGCAAATCCTCCGCTGCAAAATTTATTTGTCAAAGGTATCTAACTCCCACTTACACAGCAATCCTGATAAACTAGAGGCGTATGGTTAAGCGATAGGGACTTATGTTCTCTTGACCAAGGTTGGGGTCCGATCCCCGCTTGGGCATGGAAAGCGTTAAATCTCCTGGCCAGCTATCTCACCCTTTGAGGTGCTTACAATTAACAAATCTGCATTAGTCTGGGCTATTGATGTATCTGAAAAATAGTCTACTTAGGATACCAAATAAGGTTACTAAAAAAAAAACAATAACAATTATGTTTAAGTTACTACTGTCAAACACCAAATGTGAACACCTCTCATAATGAGAATTTGAATATTGATTTATCACATTTCGAAAAATTAGTTAGTTCTGCTAGACCTAACCTTCCCGAGAGTAACTTGACTCAAATTTTTACCTTCAACAATTTTGCCTAAAATGAAATCATATTTCAAGAATTTAGTAGTTAATCGGGCCCAAGTGATAGGCCCAACATACCTAGTGATTTCGGAGCTTCGGCCCAAAACTAAAAGGAAGGACCCAAGGGCAAAAACGGCAAGGCGGCAAAAGGACTGGGGTCCACACGTGCAGGACACGTCACTTGTGGTGGAAAGGGAGATCGGCTCGGTAATGACGATGATTCCTTCGTTGGACGTTTACCGCGTAACAGAGGTGGGCGATATTTTTCTACGAAGACAAAGTCCCAAACTCAGAAGCATTATATAGGATCGGAAGATAGCTGTTTTGTCCTCTGATCATAGGTTTTTGATTCCATTTCAAATCTCTGTCTCTGGCATATTGATTTGTATTTCCACTCCAGCACCATGAGTTTCATCTTCGGGAAAAGGAAGACTCCCGCAGGTCTGTTCCCGCGCCCATATTATAAACCTTTGAATTTGATATAATTTTTATTCGATTGGACTCGAGATGATGAATTCTCAATTGGGGTTTATCTATTCGGGTTTTAACATTCACAATGTCAATTAGGTTTTTTTTTTTTGCCCCACGATTGTTCCCCATGTTATCTCTTTTCTGGTTGTGACGGTTTCGCGGGAGTTTTTGCCTCCTTGCTCTGATCATATGTAAAAGTTTAATAGCTATATCTATTTTCCTCTAGTCAAATTATGAGTCGTAATCTATTTGTTTTAGCTGAGTCGTATGGCTCGATCATATTTTCGTATTCATTTTGCACTCCTTCTAGTTATGATAATAAAAAAGTAGGATTCTTCCATAGACAGAGTGGTAATTACTTCAAATTTTACTTACAGAAGCGCTTTATATTGATTTTAAAGTACGTGATCGTAAGCTTGTAATTTTCAGAGCTTTTGCGGGAAAACAAGAGGATGTTGGACAAATCAATAAGAGAAATAGAACGGGAGAGACAGAGTTTACAAGCACAGGAGAAGAAACTGATTACGGAGATAAAGAAAACTGCCAAACAAGGCCAGATGGTATGGTGTTTTTATAGAACTAGTAGCATCTGCAATATGCTAGCTGTTGGCTCAGCAGTTTCAAACTTATGAATTACGATTTCAAACCTACAAGCCTCCCCTATGACGTGGGACTAGTGTTACTGTTGTAGTTGTCTTATTTTATATTAGTGATCTAGTTTGGTTCCTTGGATGTGGATCAATGAGCAAATTGATCCACATTTTTGTAGCAGATAACTGACATGTCAGTAATGCTGAATTTGTGTCCCTCAAATTGTAAAAGGTTAACGCCTGGTTTATTTGTTAAAGTGGGCGGTGAGATGTTCCAATAACTCCATTTCTTAATGTTATATAAAATTTCAGGGAGCTGTAAAAGTGATGGCCAAAGATCTTGTCAGAACACGACATCAAATTGAGAAGTTTTACAAGCTTAAATCACAACTCCAGGGTGTATCACTTAGAATTCAGGTACGCTATAGTTGGTTTAATTTTATAAGTGGGTTTGTCCGTACATGGTCGTTGTAAGATGTATGTGTTCCGTTTTCTGAAGATAAAGTCATTTTTTCTTGCAAAAAAGTGATTGGCGTTTGCATTGAATATGAGAGATTCTTAGGTATGTCAAACAGATGATAAGTAGATTTACAAGTATGTCAAAGGTGGGTCCCATTGGGAATTGTGCCCGGTATGCTTTGTGTCATTTCGTGATTGCTTTGGTTTATTTAGTTCGAATAGCTTATATATGAACTGATCTACTTCAGGGTTTTCCTATTAGAATCCATGGCTTTAACTAAGTGGGGCGCTAAAACATGGAATCTTCTGTATCACAATTGTGCAGACTTTGAAATCAACACACGCAATGGGTGAGGCAATGAAAGGCGTGACAAAGGCAATGGGACAGATGAATAGGCGAATGAACTTGCCATCTTTGCAAAAGATCATGCAAGAATTCGAAAGGCAGAATGAGAAGATGGAGCTGACAACTGAGGTCATGGGAGATGCAATGGACGATGCTCTGGAAGGAGACGAGGAAGAAGAGGAAACAGAAGAACTAGTGAACCAGGTTCTTGATGAGATTGGAATTGACATAAACCAAGAGGTATTTTTAATCACCCTTTATCTTCTTTCATCAGCTGAAAGAAAAATAATTCATTATGACTCGTAACAGTGCCTGTGCCCCTAACAAGTTTTGATTTCATGCACAGCTTGTAAATGCACCATCAGCAGCAGTTGCTACTCCCGCAGCAAAATCTAAGGTGCCTCAAGCTGAAGCTACGGGAAATGATGACGGTGGGATAGATAATGATTTACAGGCAAGGTTGGACAACTTAAGAAAAATGTAGTCTTCACTTTCTATGATATATATACAAACCCTGTCTCTGGCCTCTGCTATGAAATCTGGAGTTTCTTTTTCTCCCCTCTCTTCCTTTTGGGTGTGTACATATGACACAGCTTTGATTGTTTGAACTGTCTTGTTGCTCGGACCCACGGGCCACGGACGACCTGAGATTGTGAGCAACAAGAGTGTACGCTCTGTTGGAAAAAGTGTTCCTTTTAGTTTCTCCTTACGAGTCATAATGGCCTCTAGTCGTTCCCTTCATTTAAGCATTTCCCTCAAGTTACAGAATGAAATTGCATGGATTCAAATTAAGCCTTTTTGGAAAAAAAAAATTGCGAAAAATGTTACTTCTAAAACTTTTATAATTAGCTATACATTATGGATCCTATATGTTTTTTAATACAACGATCCTGTGTTTTATGACACATCTGAATGGTGTAATTTTATTTTATATATATATATATATATATATATAAAAGGATAACATTTAGATTAGTTTTCTTATATCTATTATGATAAATTCTCTAATCAAACATGGATTATATTCTTAAAGTACTAGCATTTAATAGTATTTAATTACAAATTCATATTAAAAACAAAACGCATGATCATGTGTGATTGAAAAACATGATATAATAGATATAAATTTAGCCCAAGTCTTTTCATAAATAAAAATGGACAAACAACGGACACACAGCCTTAAAGGCAATTGCATTATTTATTACTTATAACAAGTGTGGCTTTTGCAAACGTTTGATACTAATTTGATTCCGAAATGATATATCCTTTTTAAGGTTTAAGTTTTGGACCATATACTGTTTAACGCAGTGCAAATTAACTTCATAAATTTTGTTTCTGTATGTTGAATTACTCATTCAAATAGAATAAATATAAAGTTTTTTTTTAGTGAAAAATAAATATAAAGTTTTATCTAACAGAGAAAATAACAAAGTATTACTAAACTCTGAGGGATTAATTCAAATAAGGGAGTAAATTCAGTCACTAAGATATAAAGGATATTGGAGGGATCAAGTTGTGTACGTACTTTGTATTGTCTTATTTATTTTAGCATTTCATTCCATTCTTACTTTTAAAATTCCCAAACAAGCCGCTGAAGTCATAATAATCATATATTGAACCTTCAATTCACCCTTTGTTTCCTTAAGGGACAAGCATTTGTATTTAAAGTAGCCATTGCACCATGGCGCTGGCATAAATTATTGGCAAACCAAAAAGATCAGGACAATAAGACAAGGACAGATACAAATAAAGGTCGAGCGACCTTCTTTTTTTTTTTTTGACCGAATCGAGCGACCTTATTCAAATTATAACAACATAGCACCAAGCCTTATTTATGAATAATGAATCATAATTCACTCAGAAAACCAAAAAGAGACCAAGTTTTAGTAATACTATTATACTGCAATATATACAAACTTTGATTCTCCCTAGGTTTGTGTTGTGTGACACCCATTGGTCGATGCCGTTGGTTTTATAGTTTCTTATGGTTGGACTTTTAGTGCAAGCGAACAGGGCAGGGCATGGCATCCGATGGACCTGCCTGGTTCTTCTGACTTCTTCGTTGCTGTCATCTTCCTCATTTGGGTAATTGCTCAGAAATGGAGATAGAGTTGGACCCACATGTGACCCATTTAGCTATGATCAGCCACTAGGCGATTCTGGATATTCCATTCAATTTTCGCAGGCCCCACGTAACTCACCCCTCAAACAGCGACGCCATTAATGGCGGATGGGAGCAAGCCTTCACGAGAACTCCCCGGCGGAAAAAGCTGGCAAAATTGCAGCACAGGTGTTCGACAAATTGGGCAATCGAAGTGAGAGTAAAGCCACATGTCTATGCACACTGCATGAAACCTATGCTTACACCTCGGTAACTTCCTCACCTCTTCCCCTTCTTCAAACCCAGAAAGACAAACCGGGCATTCACAGTCACACTCACAGTCTCCTTCTGCTTCTTTCTTGTACTTGAAGCTTGACAGTAACAAGTTTCTGTTCAATCCTACATCAAAACTCCTGCTGGGTACTACTGCTTCAGTCACACGATTTGAAGGCTGTGATGATGGTGAAGGCGACGATGAAGATGATGACTGCGCTTGCCGGCGGCCTCCGCGGCACTGTTTGATGATGATAAGGTTGTATACTGCTAAAATTACAGCCGCTGCTCCTACAACTGCAAGGCCATAGTAGAGGAGAGCCATGTTTTGAATTTGGTTTCTGGTCTGAATGTGGATGAGGAAGAAGATGAGGAATTTTCAAGATGTGGCCCATTAACTATCGGTTTTTTAATTTACAGAACGACTTGGGAAATACTAATACTATATTGCTAGTCAGCGGACAACTAAAGTTAAGATCAGGTCACATCCACTAGTGACATGATACGAATGCATTAAAGTTCATAAAATATATTCACTAGGAGTTACTGAATGGTTAATCTAAGAGCCGTGAAGGCAGAGAATTGAGAGAACAATTTTGTGATAAATATAAAATGAATTGTTTGAAGAGAAGATAATATAATGGGCATTGTAGGTCAGTGATGGGGTTGGGCTCTTTAATTTTTGTATTCTTGTTTTTCAAGTGCTTCTTTCTTTCTTTCTGTCATTTTGGCCACTCACTTCGGTATCCCCTTATTAATTCTTTCGTCTTTTGCTTTTGCTTTGCCATTTGTAAACCAGACATGTTTCTAAAAACTTACTTTCCCTTGTTTAGGTGAAATTAAATAGTACGATCCTAAATATAAAATTACACTATAAAATAAGTTTTACATTTAGAACGAAAGAGTAGGAATTGATTTTTTTATTTTAAAAAGTATATTTTCTTTCTAAACATATGTGTGTATTGTTAATTTGCTACAAATGTACAATCTTTGCTTTTGTCTTGTTTAAATGTCAACGTTTTTTGAATAACAAATTTATAGAAAAAATTAATTTATTGGTCCTTCAAATTTTAACCCAATTATGGCTCAATTTTTGGGCTATTTTTTAACTTTGAACTTAGTTAAAACCCAGTCCTGTTCTTTTCTCACTTAATAAACTAATTATTTTTCATATATAACCTAGTTGAGTCATCACCTAGTCATCCTACATGGCTTCCAAGTAAGCTCATCTCCTCGCGGATTCAATGGAAATTAAAATTAAAACGACAAAAAAGGAAGATGACGAACAAACAGGCGGCCATGTCTATATTTTCACAAAGAAAACTTTATAGGTTGATTCCATTTAATTGTATCACTATGGATTTCTGTCAAAAGAAAATTTAAATAATAAAACACCTTATGTGACTATCTGAGCCATCATAAGAGTGGCTAGACACTAATAATGAGCCCAACCAAGTGACCAACTTATACCATTTTATGTGTCAGGTTCCTCAAATTTAGGTCTCTGAAAAAGGGACAGCGTCTTAGGTTTTTTAATGCAGATTTGTTTGTGCTAAAATCCAATGTTAAACCATTTTTGTGGTTAGCTTATTAGATTTGCTTTAGAAGAATGAGAAGTCTTACTACTTGTAAACGTAAAATATTGTTGAGTTCCAATCATCTTGTGAAAGATGTTCGAAGGGCGTCGGAACATAATCACGTGTAAAGAGAATGATAATACTAAAATACTATGAGCACGACAATTCATAAAAGGAATGAGGTTGGAAGAATATCACGATTGAATTAATTAATAACAAAAGGAAAAATTGCAGAAACAAGACCTCAGAAATTGCAAAATTGCAAATAAATTATTTTGTGAAAAAATGTGTTGTATTTGCAATCAAATTGTTTTTAAAACATGAAAGTGTTGTAACAATCCGAATTTATGATTTTTCAATTTTCACAATTTTCTGTTTTGCATTTTTCCCTTAATAAAATAGTAATATTATCCACTTGCTCAACCCCAACCCTAGAAAGTGGCTGATTGATATCCACCAAATAACTGGTGCTAATATTTCACTACTTTATTCACGTTTATGATATTTTGCAATTCTTAATTTTCTGCTATTAGTGTGTCACGTGGTTTTAGTCTTTTATTACGTGATGGTCATTAAATGTAACCATATTTTTCAAGGAAATAAAAAGTGTCATAAAGTTTTTACATACGGTGTCATATGGTTTGAAGATTACAATAAAACTGTTGGCGGGCAAAAAAAAAGAAAGAAGAAAAGAAGATTACAATAAAACAAATAAATCATTTAAAAGACGGATTAATAAGTTCCACGTTTCTTTCAGTTGCAGAACGATATCCATCCTTGATCAAACAGTGTTATGTGATAATAATTTATACCACCCTTGTTATTAGAAGGTGATGTGTGTGTTTTTACACATAAGATATTAAAATATCATCTAATAATAAAAATAAAAAGAAGCTCAAAAAAATTTGAGAAGAACCCCAACATTAAGTAGCGATCGGAGAGTAGCGGACAAGGAGGAGTTGACACTCCATCCCCATTTGTGTTAAGAATCATAAATATCCATATTAATATAAAATATGGAATGTGGAACTCGGATTTCCAGCTAATATGCCAATTATGGCGGTGGATGATGACGACGATGAGTTTCGTCTTACACCCAGAAATAATCGCAACTTTGCTTCATTAAATACTAATATCTTGTAAACAATTTTGTCAGATGGTCTTTGGATGTGATTCAGAATGATGCGGTCCAGAGGAGTGTTAGGTATTGGCAGCTTTTTAATTAAATGAGAACAAGTTGCGATTACTTTTGCATTTTCTTAATCAAGTTTGACGTTTACACGCAGGTTTGGTTTTTCTGGGCATGGCTCGTTCTTCTCAGTTCAAAGTTTCAGTCTTTTCTGGGGGAAAACATTGGGCTCCACGCTGGACTTTTGACTTGTAAAACCCTTTTCCATGCATTGCTAAACCCTCTTTTTGTGGAAACAAACAGGGCTTTTCCCTCCTCCTTTGACGTTTAGTAGAAAAGAGAGAGTGCCCAATTTGTTTTGTGATTCTGGGTATGTGTCATTCTTCTCCAAGTTAGTATTTTTAGCGGAAAGTTTTCATTTTGCAACTCCCTCATCAGCTATATCTTCTGAAGTGTCAATATTTTCAGTGGGGGCGTCACATTTTGTAACTTTAATGGACAAGTAAGATGCCAAAAAACGAAGTGGTTCTGCAAATCCAAGAAAAGGAAGAAGCTTTGTATGCGAAGAAAGAGTCCCAGATGGATTCTTCGCCGGAGATAAGAAACGTAAGCCCAAAACCCAGTAAGCCACCAAAATTTCCGACAGAGACAATAATCAAACGAAGGTCACTGTCAAGGTCGGAATTCTCGAAGCCAAAATCGAGATTAGTGGAACCACAGTATCAGACTGACCCCAAATTTCTCGGAGGAAAAACTCAGATGATAGGTTATGATTCATCGTCTAATAGGAATTCTCCGAATGTGACTTCACCTATGAACAAAAATACAACGACTACTCCAAGGAGTAATATCAGTACAGCTCCAGTAACCCCACGAACGCCATTGAAAGGGATAGAAGGAGAAGATGAAGAAGATGAAGATGAAGAAGTGTATAAAACTGCTCATCTTGAAGTGAGCAAGAGATCAGGCAAGAAAAAGTTGAAACTAATGGCTTTAATTGAATGGAGTGCTTTTGTTTGCATCATGGCTGCTTTGGTATCGAGCGTGACCATCCATAAACTGCAAAATACGGTGATTTGGAGTCTGAATCTATGGAAATGGTGCGTTTTACTGTTGGTAATTATCTGTGGTAGAATAATCACTCAGTGGTTCATCAACATTCTGGTTTTCTTGTTCGAGAGGAACTTCATATTCAAAAGGAAGGTTCTTTATTTTGTTTACGGGCTTAAGAAGAGCGTTCAGGCCTTCATTTGGTTAGCTTTGGTTCTTCTAACATGGTTTCTTCTGTTCAATCATGGAGTTAAAAGATCCAGAAGAGCCAGAAAAATTCTGAGTTACATAACAAGAGCGCTCGCTTCTTGCCTCATAGGATCAGCCATATGGCTTATAAAAACTTTACTCATAAAGCTACTAGCTTCTTCTTTCCAATGCACCAGATTCTTCGACAGGATTCAAGAATCAATCATTCATCAATACATTCTTCAGGTTCTCTCGGGGCCTCCATTGATGGAGATGGCTGAAATGGTGGGGAGAAGTGCGAGCACTGGTCAGCTCAGTTTCAGGACATTGAACAAAGAGAAGAAAGCACAGAAAGAAGAAGTCATTCATGTGGACAAGTTGAAGAAGATGAAGCAAGACAAGGTTTCTGCTTGGACAATGAGAGGGTTAGTTAATGTGATAAGGAATTCTGGGTTGTCCACCATACCAGACACACTCGAAAGCTTTAATGACGAGGAAGGAGAGCAGAAAGACAGGGAAATTAACAGTGAGTGGGAAGCAAAAGCAGCAGCTTATAGAATTTTCAAGAATGTAGCCAAGCCTGGAAATAAGTTAGTTTATATGTTGCTACATTGATCAAAAGCTCTTTGATGACTTCTCTTCTCCAATTTTCTCACTCTGTTTTAAATTGACCAAGGTACATTGAAGAGGAAGATCTCTTGAGATTCATGAAAGAAGAAGAGGTGGAGAATGTGCTTCCTTTGCTTGAAGGAGCTGTGGAAACTGGAAAGATAAAGAGGAAGTCCCTCAAGAACTGGCTGGTAAATTAACTCTCTCACTGTTCCTCATGTATAGGAATTTATAATCCAATAAGGTTCTGTTTATCTGCATTTGACAAGTGTGATTGCTGATGTTAGGTAAAAGTTTACTTGGAGCGCAAGTCACTGGTTCATTCCTTAAACGACACAAAAACTGCTGTTGACGAACTGAACAAGCTAGCTTCGGTCTTGGTTCTCGTAATAATCATCATAGTGTGGCTTCTTTTAATGGGATTCCTAACAACTAAAGTGCTTCTCTTCATTTCATCTCAGCTTTTACTTTCTGCGTTCATGTTTGGAAACACAGCCAAGACTTTGTTCGAAGCCATCATATTTGTCTTCGTAATGCACCCTTTTGACGTTGGAGATCGCTGTGTCATCGATGGTGTACAGGTAACAACATATATACGGTTCATATATATGAAAGATAGCTGATCTTCATTGGTTGACAGATTTGTTTATGTGGTAGATGATAGTGGAAGAGATGAATATATTGACGACAGTGTTCTTAAGATATGACAACGAGAAGATATTCTATCCAAATTCAGTTCTAGCCACCAAACCAATCAGCAATTTTTACAGAAGCCCAGAAATGAGTGATTCAGTTGAATTTGCTGTTGATGTTTCTACCTCCATGGAAACCATTGGTGCTTTGAAAGCTGGAATAAAAGCGTATGCGTCTTTCACTTCTTATTTTCCATGATCATCTTCATCATCAGTTCAATTCTAAGTCATCATTGTAATCCTTAGGTTTTGAATGATAATACATTAATTGAAAGAATGAATCATCACATTGTGAAATTTTGTCAGATACCTGGAGGGCAAGCCTCAGCATTGGCGAGCTGGGCACAGTGTGGTGGTGAAGAATATAGAGAACGTGAACAAGATGAATATGGCACTCTATGTGACTCACACCATTAATTTTCAAAACTATGGAGAGAAGAGCAGCCGAAGATCAGAGCTTGTGCTGGAATTGAAGAAAATTTTCCAACTTCTTAATATTAATTATCATCTTCTTCCTCAAGATGTTCATCTCAGTTATGTGGGACCAGAAGCACCCTCTACCATCTGGAGATGATCCTTTTCCTCATTATTTACTTGTTTCTAATCATATGCGATTCATTGAGTTCTGCAAACGTTTGAGTTTGAAGAAATGATTGCTTTCTTTCTTTCTTTTTAAATTTACATGACTCACTCGTGAACTGAATACGTATTCACTTGGATTTCACAACTTCAATATAATAAATCTCTACATCCTAGCAAATTTGACAACCGTGTGTTGAAATTATTTTTTTCACATTGACAACTCCATTTCCGATTATCAATAAGAATGTATAATTTCAATAACTGCAGTTACCGATGTGAAGATCTTTATGTGTGATCTGTCAGTATTTTTATAAATATTCTTTGAACTTGAAAACATGATTTAACTCTTCCTAAGACTCCAATTCACCTCAACTTTTTTATATCTGGAAAAAAAAACATATGATACTTTTTTTTTTTTTGTAGTTTGAGAAGCTGTGTGAGAGCTGACAGTAATTTTCTCTAGAATTCAACAAGTACTTTAGATATATATATATATATCATGAATAGTGTAGTTTAAAAAAAAAAAATTAATGCATGGGATTCACTAAATAATTATTATGTCTTTGGGAATCTTTAAAGATGTGATAATGCTTAAATTTAATTAAGGGGTAACAGATATCATTTTTCGTTACATCAAGTCGGAAGTTTTTATCAGTATAACTGTATAAGAATAGAAAAAAGGAAAGAAAATCCATTAAGAGAGGAAGAAAGAAAAGAGGGGGCTCATCAGATAAGATAACCTTATCTCTCTCGATTTGGATTTTCGACTGGAGAAGCCGCCACGTAGGATGTGTCAAAGATGCACAAAATTTCCACCACTCGTTGCCATCACCTTCTCTTCAAAACAAACGCTCCTCAAATCCAATCCCCTTCCCTCTTTAACGCAGGTTTCATTCCCCCGACGAGCACTAGTTGCCCCACCAGCAAGAAGAACCAACCAGAGGTGACTCACCAATGGCTTCAACTTCCGCAGTTTCCATGGCCATGCCACCAGCTTGCGCCGCCCACAAGAAGGCGGCGCCACCCACATCCACATTCTTCCAGCCACTGCCTCTCCGACCTTCAAACAAGGTCGCCGTATCCAGTCCCAGTTCCAGGCTTGTAGTGAGGGCCTCCCTTAAGGAGAAGGCCGTCACTGGTCTCACCGCCGCCGCTTTGACAGCTTCCATGATGGCTCCCGATGTGGCTGAAGCCGCCGTCTCGCCGTCTCTCAAGAACTTCTTGCTGAGCATCGCCGCCGGTGGGGTCGTGCTTGCCGCCATTGTTGGCGCCGTCATCGGTGTTGCCAACTTCGATCCCGTCAAGCGAAGCTGAGGAGAAGTGCATCATACCTCTCTTCATCCACCTTTTAGAATTTGTCCTGTCATGTGTATGTCCAATTTACATTGTTATTCAGTAATGAACTGTGTTGTGTGTAATATGTCACTCTTCATCTCCAGATGAGCTCAGACTTTTTCCAATTCTTAAATTCCATGTTTGCGGCTGCCTATGAACGAAGTTAACATGCAGACCCAATATTTATACACACCTATATGCACCTTTTTCCCCCATGTGAATGTGTTCCGCTGCGTAGCAGAATTGTACTGGCGGATCAACCTGTGGGCAATAACTGAATTCGCCGTGAAGCACACTATTTCTAAGATTATGCAAGATATCTGCACTAAACACGATGACATTTTTCAAGTTCCCACAGGAGGAAACACAGAAAATATACTAGTTGAATTAATGGAATTTACATCTAAGGTTTTACAGTGGGCATATATAAATGATACTGTAAATCGAGTTAGCCAGTCCAGAAAAGGCGTGGCTCTTCTTAATCTAAGGAAACATGGGAATCCGACACAATTACTGCTTACAAAATTTTGAAATCAAATCTAACATGTATCTACTCTCGGAAGAATAATCCACCTTATCTGCCTTAACCACTGTGATCTTCACCCTCTGTTCGTCACCATACAATTCCTCCTTGACTTTCAGCCGAAACACAAACTGGTTGAAGAGTTTACCACGGATCATGTCCCCAAACCTATCATCATCCTGATCTTTATACTTCAATAAGTACAGCTCCTTTGCTGAGCAACCTAAGATTTCCTCGCCTGATTCTTGGAATGCTGTGACCCAGGTTATCCCCGTATGATCCAGAATTTGGGCTTGAAGAAGGTAACGGTAATCACACTCTTCAAACTCTTGATTGCATCTATCGCATTGCCACCTGCTTCCTGACCTAGTCACTTTTTTACTGCACTGCCGGTCTCCAATCATCAGTGGGCAAGCTGTATAACAAAATGGATCTGTCTTGATGAATGATATGGTTGCCCTCACTGTTATCCAGTCTGGCTTATCTGATCGCCCCAGGCCTTCATCCTTGATCTGAGACACAGTTTTACGTATCTCATTCTTAGGTCCTCCTGGCGTAATGTCCTTAGAAACGGACAGAGAAGCTGAATCTTTCCCCCCTTCATCAAACCAGGCTCTTAATCTATGAGCCTCAGGAAAATCTGGGTTAATGAAGAGTTGGGTAGAAGAAATGGTTCCTATAGATTTTCCACTAAAGTCATTAACCCTCCCAGATTTGACTGCCAGAACTGGGAAAAACCCACCATCAACCATTTCTTGAAGCTTTTGACCTTCCCTATTGCAGAAATCACCCCAAAGGGTTAGCTCAACACTCTTGCCAGACATGTCCTTTACGTTCAGAATTCGTCTTTGAGTTTCCATTCCATTCTTCCTCAAGATGGGAACCGAGGGATTTACCAATGTCACAACCCCAATAACATCAAGTATGCAGTTACTTTCGGTGTTCTCAATGTCACTGATAGGCCTAAAGGAGAATTGCTGTCTGGGTATTGAAGCATCTTCATCTGGGCAAAGCTCCACAGATGAATTAGAGTCCAGGAAAATTTCCCAGTCATTCTTCAAATGATTGAAGTTCTTCTGCGCGGGTTTTAAGCTACCTTTGGATATCAAGTAGACTTTACCAACCTCAATTAGATTATAAAATCGGTCAACAACAGCATTGAAGCATGTTACTCGTATTTCACCTCCATCAGAGTCAAGGAGATCAAAAGAGAAAACTTTTCCATCTCCTCGAGCATTATTATAGCGGCGGAGATCCCCTTTTGCAGTTACTCTTGCCTTTATAGCCCACCGGCCTTGATAAGGATTTAAAGCAGCGATAGGAATGATCCGTGCAGGTGCTTCATTCTTCATAATTGCACCATGGCTTTTGTAAACTGGTGGTGGTCGGAATGGAAGTTGAACAGTTGGTCTGAAGTTCTGCTCATCATGACCTGAATTTTGAACAGGCGGACGATTATTATTAAGCCTAGATGAATTCTGCATATTGTTATTAGACAATGCTGTCTGGGCCGTTGAATCAGATACCACAAATGAGTTTGGATTCCCGATAATCTCACAATCTGGAATTATAGTTTCCATGTTGAGCACCACAATGATCCTGCACAAGATAAGAGCGTCATGTGACTTGAATCTACACCAGAGCAACCACTATGATGCCAAAGAGACAGAAGTATAGATTAATATATAGAAACTATAACGTAGAGTGGAAGTTCTGCAATCAGTACTGGACACTACAGCATTGATGAAATACTTAAATATTCCATGTGCAGGGAAAACAAATCTATTATGAGGTTGAACAGTTTTCAGGCCCCCCATATATGAACTGAGGCTACTGCCGCTCTGATGTTTTTTACCCTCCCAAAAAAGCAAGCCATTGATTAGTTAACACAACAAAAGTGAAAAATAAGACAGAAAAGAGCGCTGACAAAGAAAGCTCAGACATGATGTGCAAATCAAAGTGTGAATGAACTATAAATCGTACTTGTCTATGTTCAGGAAGTAAAAGTGAAGAAGATTTCTTCCATTGAAAATGTATGTTCACCAACATGAAGATAGGACTCTTACTGTCTTACAGTCTTTCTCTACTTATCTTTTCTTAAACAAAATCAAGCAAAGTTTTGCTTCCAGAATGAAGATTCTGAATCAACATACTACATACCACCGAAATGGTTACCAATTTTCAATACCATGAGCAATCTTCGTGGCTACTCTTAAAAATCATATCCTTCTCGTTTATAAGTTTCAACCGAATGACCATTCAAATGACGTTTCTAAGATAGGACTCTTGCAGTCTTTCTCCTACATATCTTTGTTTAATCAAAATCAAGCGAGCTTTTGCTTCCCGAAGGAAGATTCTGTATCAACATGCTAGATACCAACCGAACGATGACCAGTGCCCGAAACGGCGGGCAATCTTCTTAGATACTCTTAAACCATAACCTTCTCGTTTCTAAGTTTCAAAAGAATAAACAAAAAGAATGATGTTTCCACACGGATTATAGTTATAGTATATACATATATAGATAAATAGATAATAGATAATATCCCTCTGTCACTGTTTTAAACTTCCAGCTTCATCGTAACCGCTTTGGAAAATGAACTTCGCCTCACATTAACCAGAATGGCACAAATGAACCAAAATTTAGAAATAGGAATGAAATACTAACTTGCGGTTCTGAATTTGACTGCAAATGTACTCAATCAGCTGAACGACGGAACCTTTCTTGACTCGTCCGGTTCTAACTCGGTTATTCAGCTGAGTCGCGAGCATAGCGTGCTGAGTGGAAGCGGAATCAGAAATAAGAAGCCGGTACCTCTCCTGCTGCGAATTATTAGAAATCAACTTGATGTCCAGGACCTGGACGAGCGGCTTCGAGTTCACGTCGCCGGCCACAATAGCCGCGATCGCGTTGGGCGTGAGATTCACCGGCATACTCCAACCCCAATCACCCGAGCGAAAAGCCTATGTGACTATGTCGTGGATGAGGAATTCACGCAGAGGCGGTGGTTCCAGTTTCGCCCGAAATGAAAATCTGACAAAGTGAAAATATATATAGGAGAGCAAGTCCACAAGATTTTGGAGGGAGAGTCGGGTTTCTGCTTTCGCGGAATGGGCAGAATATATCCGTATAATTACGACGATACCCTCGGAGGGGGATCGCCCGTCATTCAACTCCAATGGACATCTCTCTTCTTCTCCCTCATTTTAGACGAGGCGATGAAGCATTTTTTTGTAATGGGAAGACAAATTTATTCAAGAAAAAAGGAGTACAATTTTTGTCATGGATATACTATATCCGATCCTATTTATAAGAACCAATTAACTAATTTGAGGAGATTAAGGAAGTAGGTTGAATTAGTTATTTGTCCTTTGTCTTTTCTAAAATATCCTTACTAATCAAGTGTATTGACTAGAACTATAATTATTAGAAGGACTATCTTAAAAAAAATTAAGTAAATATGAGAGACAAAGTAGATTGAGGTTTTATATTTAGGACCAAAATAAAAATCAAACAAGGTCTTATATTAAGAATCAGAGGTAGTATAATTTTACTTCTTACTTATTATTATGTTGACTTTATTTACATAAGATATAATGTATATTAAATAGAGATAAAGTTAAAAATTTATTAAATTTTAAATTAAAGTTTGTGAAATTTAAGATTTTTCTTAATCTGTATAAAACATGCTAAAAATGCCTCATAAATAAAGATAAAGAAGTAAGTCATATTGGGCTCCCTTAGGTGAGAATAAAAACACGATGCAAACACACATATAAAGCCCATGTATAACTTGACCAAAACTAAGCCCATATATAACATTGTAAAAAACAAAAAGGCCCATACATAGCAGCCTAAAAATTAAAAAACTATAAACCCCAAAGAGTATATGAAACATTAACAGGGGAACTAGAATAGAATAGAAAGACTAACTCTAGTAGTAAGGAGTCAACTCATAACTTATAAATTATGAGTTTGAATCTCACTACCGATGTGAGGGCCTTGTTAGTGAGTGATATGTAAATATCTCTGTAAACATTATCTAAAGAACTCAACTCATCTAGATTTTTTTTTACCAAAAAAAAAGAATAGAAAGAAGTTAGTCACTTGTGATAGAGCAAATCGAGGTCCAATTTCTCACTACAAAAAATGCCTACATAGTGTGAGACAGTGTGTCGAATAACTGCTTTCAACAAAAAGATACCCATACTTAGAAGAAAAAAGAATAGAATTATATGGCATGAAGCTGTGAAATTCAAAATATTTAATATTTCATAAATGTTATTATCAGTTAATAATTATCGCAGAAGCCAATTAAACACTGTTACAATACAGTTAATATCATCCGTTGGATACCGAACCTTAAATTGCCTCCACCGTTGGATTGATGACCGCCTCCAACATATAAGCCCATCACTTTGGTTCGGAGCCTCTCTCCGGAATTAGGGTTTGCGCTCTGCGAAGAGAATAAGAGACTCACCCCATCCATTGCCACCGGCGGCGTTGAGATCCTTTGCCCTGCATTACACTTCGTTGCGACAATGGCGACTCAGATGAGTAAGAAGAGAAAGGTCGGTACTGCATTCCCTGGATTTGTTTTAACCTCAATCTATGACTTCTGCTCCCGTCTAATTCTTTTCATATTTACTGTGGATTTGTAGTTCGTTGCTGATGGCGTTTTCTTCGCCGAGCTGAACGAGGTTTTGACCCGAGAGCTTGCCGAGGATGGATACTCTGGTGTTGAGGTTAGAGTTACACCGATGCGCACTGAGATCATTATCAGAGCCACTCGAACCCAGAATGTGCTTGGTCCGTTTTCATATTATTCGAGCATTGTTATTTGTGGCTTTGGTGTGATTTATTAATGCTGATATCTGAGGAGAACTTATGATTTGGTTTTGGGAACACAGGTGAGAAGGGGAGGAGAATCAGGGAACTGACCTCAGTGGTACAAAAGAGATTTAAGTTTCCGGAGAATAGCGTGGAGCTTTATGCTGAGAAGGTGAACAACAGGGGTCTTTGTGCTATTGCTCAGGCCGAGTCTCTTCGTTATAAGCTTCTTGGTGGTCTTGCTGTGCGGAGGTACATTCTTGCTTCAGCCTTTGTAATTGTATCTATGAATATGCAGCATGACGTGTTTGGATTGTTTCAATCAAATGGATGCATAGCATTTTGCTTCTCCTTGTTATTATTATCTTGTGCATAGATATTTGCTACATATGATTTGCAGTTTAGTATAAGCTAATAAGTAAGGCCTACCTTATGTTCTGAAGCACATTATTTCTCTCGATCCGTACATAACACGATTATGCTTTAATGGACATGCCCTAGCATTTTCTTTCAGTTGGTCATCTATAAAGCAGGCTGGTGCTTCTGTACCAAGTTTGTGTCGGAAGATGACTAAATCACAGTTTGTCCTCCATGCCATCGAAACTCGTGACATAATATGTTATTCATGTAGTAACTTTGGAGGCTACATGTTCATCTGCCTTGCTAGTCTTGGTTTGTTGCCTGCCCGTCCTGCCTGTGTTTCTCAGTATAATTATAACTGGCCATTGCCAGTGCAGAAGCTATAAAATGCGATAAGATATTTCATTTGGTTCTATCTTTGCTTGATTTGTTGGCCTGAAGACCTTCACCAAACCTTCACTTTTATCTTCATTAGCTCACCAGCGAGAACATGGAGCTCGAACTGGGGCAGGGCTAGGCGTTTCCCAAGAAAAGAAAAAGTGGGGAAGGGTAATTTAGGAGTGACATAAATTACTAAGGCTAATTTAGTCATAATAAGTTCTGTTTGCACCCGTTCCCTCCAAATCCCTCCACCTTTTTTTGGGGTGGGGGATTTTTTGAGCCAAATGATATGAGGAGAGCAATCACACCCTTCAAATCTCTCCAACCAAAACACCCTTAATGAACAGCCTTTTGTTTTCATTGGTCATCTATAAAGCAGGCTGGTGCTTCTGTTCCAAGTTTGTGTCGGAAGATGACTAAATCATAGTTTGTCCTCCATACCATCAAAACTCATGACATCATATGTTATTCATGTAGTAACTTTGGAGGATACATGTTCTTTAGCTTGCTAGCCTTTGTTAATGCCTTGCTGGCTTCCCTTTGTTCTTAGGTATAATTATCTTTCTTTGCGTCATGTGGTTTGATTCAATGTTCTGAAATGGGGTCTTTGTTCGCTGATTTCTTCTAACATTGGTATCCTTTGACCCACTTGTTTTTCATTCATCTAGATGGTTATTATTCTTAAAAAATACATAGTTTGTGTTGAAAAGCGACCTTGGCTTTTAAATCTTTCTCAACATTTTGTTCGTTTGTAATTTGGTTTTCCGATATGTCTTTGTTTGTATTTGAAATCTGTACTCAAATAGCTCAGCAATTTCTTTCAGGGCATGTTATGGTGTTTTAAGATTTGTTATGGAAAGTGGAGCAAAGGGATGTGAGGTACCTTCTTTGAATCCTTCGCTTGTCCGCATTTTATTTTATCCAATAGTTTAATGTCTAATTGCTGTTTTGAATTGTGAGTAGGTCATTGTAAGTGGAAAACTGAGGGCTCAGCGTGCCAAATCCATGAAGTTCAAGGATGGATATATGATTTCATCTGGTCAGCCAGTCAAGGACTATATTGATTCTGCAGTAAGACATGTTCTCCTCAGACAGGTTAGCTTGTGCCTAGACTTCAGAGTTCAGAATTATATTCTTGGACCTTATAAAATGTTTGAGCCGCTTCAAAGTGGCCCTGCTAATTATATACTTGCTTAATGTTTCTTAGGGGGTTCTTGGTATCAAGGTCAAGATCATGCTTGATTGGGATCCTAAGGGAAAGCAGGGTCCTAAAACTCCTATTCCTGATGTTGTCACAATCCACCCTCCAAAGGATGAAGAAGAATACATCCGGCCTGGTGCTGTTGTGGCAGCTGATATGGATGTCCCAGTCGTGCCTGTCGCTTGATCTGTTTTGATTCAGCTGTTGGTTTAAATTTTGTAGTGGTTAAGTCAGTCATTCAAGTTTTTCTGGTTTCTTAAATATTCAGAGATTGTTATATACTAAAGTTGTGAGTTTTTAAGCAGCATAAGCCGGGTTCTGTTGCCAACAGATTGGCCCTAAAAATAAACTTAGGTACTGTGTCTAATTTATTCTTCTAAAGTAATGTTAAATCTTTTGAAAAGCTGGCCAGTGCAGAAATAGTCTAAAACTTGGGGCCAATTGTCCAGTGGGTCGTCGAATGGAAATGTCCTTTAGGATCGAACTTATGATTAATCGTGAACCTTGTGGCTCAGTAATACCCGAGGCCTACCACAGAGGAATATTGTGTCGCGTGTCTTTTGAAGGGATTGCTGATAAAAAAATGGGTATCGTGATCTTGGTGCATTCAATATTTTAACTTTTTAATGTTGCAATTTTACCTGTGATTTTTTGAATTTGGTATAATTTCACCTTTTTTATTTATTTAAAATCACCCGTTTGCTTTTATTCACATGGACAATGGCAATTAAAGTTAACAAGTTTGGTAGTTTTTATCAAATTATTGACGATTTTCAATTAACTTACAATCACATCAGAAAACTAGAAAAGGGGTGAAAGTACATCAAATTTAATAGATTATATTATGAGTATCCTAAAAAGAATCACAAGTGTTATGATATTCGAAATAATAATTTATTTACAAGAACGAAGAAAGTCATTCAAAATATCCGTGACCATGAGGCGCATTTTTAATTGATGGGAATTATTGTCCATTCCCGGAATCAGAATCCTCCCACCTTAGAAGATAGGCTGTCTGTTAGATTTAATTTGATGGTGCAACTTTGATTTTTCAAATATAATTTTGATTTTGATTTTTTTCCCTTTAGAAAATCATAGAACAATATAAGATTGCACGGTGTTATAGTCATAAAATCAGTCATGAGTCATCAGAATGTCCTTTATTTTATGTCTAAACTAATGATGAAAAAGAATAATTTGTAAGAGAACACCCACCAAACAAAAAATAAAGATGGACATCCTGAACCAACTTAAAAAAGAAATAATGGCGGAATATGACAAAGTCAAAACAAAGTCGAGTTTCACTACAACACACTAATAATTTGACAGGCAGAACAAAAATGTATAAAGACAAAAATCTGGAGGCCAAACCGTTCAATGAAATCAAATAGGAAACAAAGGTGCTCAGAATTCACGGGTCACCTAACAAAAACAAAGTCAACATCTTTAAGGTTAGTGGAGATGGCTACAGTGGAGAAAAGGATTGAATTGGAATGATTACTGAATACCAATATCATCCCAACCAGAAAAGAAGCAAAAACCTAATACTGTATTTATTGACTCATGCTTGAATTAATGAAGTTTTACTTGCTTAGAAATGTTTGGTGATTATCACCGTAATTTGTGCCTGATATGATATTTTTAAGCCAAGTTGTTCTTGAGTTAAAAATTGTGGGCAAAATTAGGGGCATATTACGATAAAGAATTACTCCATATGGTCCCCGGAATAAGAACTGAATAACTGAGTTTATGTATTGATCTTTTTTAAAATATCATCTTTAATCATTTGCGTTAGAACTATCTCATAATGGAAACATTCTTGTATTTTAGATCAAAATGAATAGTCAACTAGATTTTATATTTAAGATCGGAGAGGATAATATGATGGAAAGAAGATAAAGGAATGGCCTTGATACATAGAAGAAAAGTTGGGTTGATGATAAAAGGAGGAGAAATGAAGGATGATATGCTTTTCAACAAAACAAATGAATGAATTGCTGCAAATGAAAGGAACAAAGTAAAAGGAAGAGAGGATAAAGTAGATTCCCACTCCACAAGTTTTTTTTTCACTTCATCATCTTTCATTGGCCTGCCAATGATGTTTCCCTACTTCCTTCTTCTTATTGTCGTTTTGCGTTTCCTTTTTTTTCTTTTTAAATTTATTTTTAAGGGATAAAATCCGTCTTTGCATCTTTTTTAAGCTACACTGTTTATAAGTCCATGTGTTTCTCTCTTTTTAAAGTTTAAAGGCATCTTTTTATTTGTGTATCTAAACCACAAGCTCAATATTATAAGCACATAATTCCTTAACTAAAGACATACTTATCATATTTTAATTAAAAATTATATTACTCTTATGTTTCTATATAAAAAACTGATTAAAAAAAAGATATGAACATATTGGGTTTAAATAGTCTAATAAGGTGTCACTTTTTTAAGTCAAGAATCATCCTTTAGGGTGGCATAACCCTCTATAGTATAAAAATTTAATTAATTAATCATTTTATGGAGAACTTAAATTTGTTTTTTTTTTTCCAATCATCGTAAAATTATTATTTTAATTAATAATACTAGTAGTAGGTTAATCCTTGACGGCCTTGATATGATAATGGTGTTGTGATGCCAACTTTAGTACAAAGCTGCTTTTTTTTTAATTTACTTTTTGTTTCACTAACCGTATTCCTCTTCATTCTAAGATCCTCGTTATCCCTTGCTTCTATGATTCTATCCTTATTCGTCTTCTTGGCAGAATACTTCTATTATTATTCTTTTACACTATACATAATGTGAAAGTTATTTTTTAATGGTTAAAAATAAGAAATTGTCATTTTTATTTTTTAAAAAATCGAATCTATATCATTGCTATTTTCTTGATACATCGGAAATATTATATAACCACTAATTTAATAAGACTTCATTCATCTACTGGTTGACAGACGTGTTAATTGATATTACTCAAGGTCCTTTTTTTTCCCAGACAAATTACCTAATATGTGAATCTATTGACTAAATCATTTTCAAGTTAAATTAGGCCTCAATTTTAAGGGAGATCTTTCAACATTATTGACTAATTCCTGAAAGCAAAATTGATTTGACCAAGAAAAAACAATTTATATATTGTGAGATTAAAATGCTCTTAAAAGTTAAAATGTCAGAGAAATTAATATAAAGAATAAATTTGTTTTAATCTCTCTTGTGCTTCAAAAATATTTGTGATTTTCCGACTCAATCCACATCCATAAAAAAAAAAATTGTTACGAAGTCCTAAATAAGAAATATAATTATTAAAAAGTCTCAGTAATACCATTGTAGTTTATAATGACAAATTATAGATAGTAAGTGACAACTTACTTATCATTAGGACTTGCTGATAATTATTTTCTTTTCTTAATATCTCATTATACTTCTCCAAAAAAGAATCCAACAATTTCATTTTTAGTTCCTACCTAAAGTAAGAATTTGGGCACCATATGGAGCTGAACATGAAATTAAAGTTTGGTATATTCAATAACATGATAGCTAAGCAACCACAAATCACAAAATAAATAAATAAATAAATAAAGAGAGAAGAAAGTAATAAAGAAAGTGCATTTTCCTATTCATTCCTTTTGAACAAGATGATGGTACAAGGAATTATTGGATTTGGCTTCTATCCGCTATCCTTTCCTTCCACTTTCTTTTCACTACGCATCTTAATTGTTAGATTGAAATTTGAACACTCCAAAATTGATATTTTTTTAAAATTACTAATAAAATATCAAATTATTAAAAATTAATTAATTAAAATTGTTAAATTTTAGTCATAACTCGTGACAGTTTCAAGACTGCAATAACAAATACTCCTTCGGTATTGATATACAAATTTAATTGAAAAGTTGATGTTGGTTCTATTTGTAAGACTTATCTCATATGCTTACCAATTTTTTTAAAATTAACTCTATTAATATTTTCCAACGATAGTCAAGTAGAAAAGAGAGAAATAGAATTACAGAAGATGCTTATGGTATTTTAGAAAAAAATATATCATATTAACTAATTTAACTAACATCTTTAATCCACTTAAATTAATTAATTAAATATTATATTAAGGGCTGGAGGAGTAACTCAAAAAAAAAAATCATTAAATCTGAACTGCTCAAAGCTTAACATAATGATCAAAATGGGTCATGGATGAAAAATGAATAGAAAAAACAGAGAGAAACCAAGTCCGAAATTATTACAGCACAAGAATGCTTCATTTCTATTAAATCCACAGTAACAGTAACAAAGGTTACACCTTACAGTAAAACAAGAGATTCTGCAAAAACCATTCTTATTTGGAAATCTAAGATCTGATGATGAGTCAGTAATGAGCTATTTAATTAAGCTACAAACACAGCATCAACTACAAATTAATTCTAATTAATCTTGTTCTATATCTGGGACAAATTACAAAATTAACTTAACAACACAAACTAATAATAATCTCTAAGTAGGCCTGAGTCTTTTTTGGCCACCTTTCCCATCTGATTTCACTGCACCACTGGAATCTCCCTCTGAAGAAACTTCCATGGATTTGGAGAAAGAAGTTGAGAGATCAGAATACAGATCCACCACTTTTCTGATGTTATTATTAAGCTCTTTGATCAGACCCACGTTTCTGCTAAGGTTGTCTGCTACCTTGGACTCATGATTCTGGTTTATCTCGTTTATCAGAAGCCTGTTCTGATCCAATATGTTCTGTACTTGAACAAAGTTCTTCTTAAATGTCTGCAACATCTTCCCATCCACCTGTGTCCCATTGTTCACACCAGAAAATGGGTCTCCCTCCATTGTTGACGAATCCAGAAGCTTAAATCAAAGTCAGTCCCAACAGAACTGCAACATGAACAAGACACAAACTTTGGATCAGACAGTGGTTTTTTTTTTTAAAAAAAAAACCCTTTTGTTGTTTTTCCCAATCATATTGCCACTTAGCATTGTCGGAAAATACATGCCTGCACTGAACATATATCGCAGAAAGACAAAAACATGAACAGTTTTTGAGCTGCTCAAGAAACATGTTTAGCATATGAGACAAGTTCTGCAGAAAATAGTAGTAGGAATCATTACCCCCATGAGCTTCTTTTCCAGATGGATCAGTTTGTCATGATAATGCGATTTTACTAATAATAACTCTATTATTATTGTTATTTAATAATAATTTATTATGTGTTCATGATTAAATGGGAAAAGATGATGCAGCCCATTTTCCTAAAAAGGTCACCTTTTTTAATGTACTGAGAAAAATACCTCCTTACAGCTCAGAGTTCAAAAGAAGAATCTGAAATACTACCAGTCAAGGAAGCCTTTTTCCGGGAAAATTACCAAAACCCCAAAATTTCCGAAACAGACATACATTGAATAAAACCAAGACCACATTTTAAAGAAAAATCCCAAATTAGCATTACTCTGAATTCAGAGGAATCTGGAATGGAATTACCATATTGGGAATTCTCAGAAACAATGATTCAGACCGTACGAGGAAGAAACTGAAAAAGCTTCCACTTGCAGCAGCTGAGTAAATAGAAATTAGGTAAAGAAGAAGCACAAAACACAAACCCACTTGATGACTCCAACAAATAATCAAACGAGATAATCTCAAACCCATTAAAGAGTAGAGATCTTCTCCGCATGAGTTTGGAGCAGAAGAACAGAAAACAGACAAATAAAATGTTCATGGAACCGAAGATTAAGAAGAAACATCAAAGAACAAGTTCTCAACAGAAACAAGACCAGAAAAAAGGAATCATTAAAAGCCATGTTTAGCAGATTACTACATACTACATTAAAATAGTTAAAAATACATACGTTATCTATGTTCTAAAGTCGTACCTTGAAAATCTGGAACATTATAATGAGAAGACACAGATTGAAAGGAGGAGGGCGATGGATTCCCGAGGAGAACTAGTAAAGATCGGCGATTGAATCGAATCTGGTGTGAATTTTCTGGGAAAGGGGGGGGGGGGAGAGAGAAAGGGGGAGAGAGAGAGAGAGAGAGAGAGAATATGGCAGATTTGACAGTCTTGCTGGGAGGGGCTGGCCGTAATCTTTCAATGAGTTAATATTTAGGATTAGGAGCATCAATTAGGGATTAAATAATAACGAATCCATAAATATTATTATAGATATATCATATGTCCACCTGTTATTTTTAATATTTAATATTTAATGTATTGATTTATGATCCAATTGGATACACTCTAGGAAGTGGGAACTTCTCCTGTCCTTTACTCAGATCCAAAGCATCACCTGTTCAGATTTTTTTTTCCATCCTGACACGTGGCTCCTTAATCTCGTCAATCCTTTCATCATCATGTGTGGGCCCCCAGTTTTGCTAAGATTGTCTATGAAATATGAATCTTACATGACTTAGACTTAACCTAATTCAATTTACTCAAGAGTGATTATGTGATTTATTTATTTATTTGTATCATGAATTTTAACAAAATAATAATTGTTTTAAGTGATTCTTACATGGTTAAAAAGATTAATCTCCCACAATCAAAGATTGACTATCTAAGTTTATCATTAGTATTTTATCAGTCATAATTTCATCATGAGTTGTCATAATGATGCGATTATAATTAAATATAATTTCTTTTAAAAAATGATAATCAATCTATCATTGTAATAACAGACTCGTGTTAAAGTCAAGTCTATAATTTGCAAACCATTAACTTGCCATTTAAAAAAAAAATACATGTGTTATCCTAGACTTGCTTAAATTTTTGAACAGATGAAAATATATAATACTTATATAATATTTTAAAAAATAAAATTAGGCTACCCTCCTTTACCACTAGACATTCCTTTGTAAGAATTGATCGTTTTTTTGGGGGGGGGGAGAGAAAGTTAATAGTAACCTGGATAACATTAGAAAAATTAGTGAAAAATTTTCCATTAAAATTTTTTTTTAGAATTTCCTAAATTAAAATATCGGTACCCTATGCATGCAAAAAATGCTGGATACCAGTGCTCCCTCTATAGAAATATTTATCAGTCTTTCTCATTAATAAAATTTGTAACATGTGACTTTTCTTCAATTTTTTAATAATATTCAATATGTTGTGCAGTTAATTGGGTAAATTGAAAATGGGAGTATGTTTTTTTTTTGGGGGGGGGTATAAAAGGGAGAGTTGGAGAGATTAGTGATGAGTGCTTAATCAATAGGATAATGGTAGGTGTGGAATATAGCTAGAACGAGGCAGAATTGGGAGGGAATTTGGTAGAAGTTCGTGAAGGCGTGTTGAGAAATCTGAGAGAGACTTTGAAATTCTTGTAAAATATGACACAAGTCAAAGTCATTTGTATGAAACAAATTCAATTCCTTTCGGAATAATAATTCCACTCCATTTGATGGGCTGATAATGCAAGCAACAGACAAAATATATAACAGTAATACTCAAAAAAAAAAAAAAGATGGCATCTTCTTTACCATTTAATACATGTACATTCTAAAAAAATAATAGAGTAGTAAAATTATCCATTCACATAAAGATTTTAATAATATAATTTATAAATATGGAAAAAAAATACTCATCAGTGAGATGAGTTTGAGTATCATTTTAAAAAAAACAACCCTGAAAATAACTAAATTTTGGGCTGCTACTTACATCTTATTACTTCATTTTATTATCCAAGTTGAGGTGATTAATTGATCGTCGCAGACACTAAAATATGAGAATGAAGAGAGAGGAGGGAGGAGGGAGGAGAGAGAGATGAAAACAATGAATTAGGCACGTGGGGATGGGGATTAAGGAGATTAATTAAGAAGAGGAAGAAAGAGAAAGGTGGGGGGAGGCACATGGGAGAGGAAGGGGGAAGCAGCGCATGATATCATATGATACGACGTCGAATGGGGTGACGCCAGCTTGGCATTTGCCAGAGGACATGCTTCCTCCTCAGTGCCTTCCTTCCCCCTTCCTCCGTCCATCGCCGGCATCCTTCTCTCTCTCTGTCATGGTCTTTCCTTATTATTATGCCTTTTAGAGAATTTTTGCCAAACAAACTGTGGGTATTTTTATTTTTTTTCTCAATATGATTTTAAAAGTATTTTAAAAAATGAGAGAGCTATTTTGTTTCTCCATTAAAATATTAACATTCAACAGTAATTACAGGTTCTTAAAAAATACTATATTCGATCTTTAATATAATAATTTATTTAACATTTAATTTGATTCTAAATATAAGACTCAAATCTCTTTTACATCTTTTTTTTTTTTTTAAAAGACAATCTTTATAGTAATTGAACATGTTAAATGTTCCATCAAATAATAATTCGAGCTAATACATATAATTAGTAAGAGTATTTTAGAAAAAAATACTTATTTATTACCAATAACTTTTGTCAGTCTTTTCAAATTAGTCAGTTAGCTCTTATATTAAGAATTGGAGCTAGTATTTTCAGCAAAAAAATAATCTGTAACACTATTATCATTTCCAGCCACCCATACACACTATGTTAATTTTTTTTTAAAAATTATATTTCATGAGATAAATTTTTTCTCATACACTTTTTTTCCGGTAGAGAATCACATGAAATAAGATAATTTGAAGACTATATATATAGAGAGAGAGGGGAATTTTATATAACGAGGGCTGGCAAGTGGCAAATGCTCCCTCTCGCCTAGGAAAAAACTGAGTAAATATCATAAATTTTGATGCTTTGCCTCTACTGATTTTAAGATTTTTATTTTATAAATGATCTCCTTTTATATTTGTGTTGTGTTTTTTCCAAATGATTCTATAAAATTAGCACTAGCTTTATTTTATTTGTATTTACATGAAATGATATTTTATAACATGCGTGTATATATCAATCCAAGGCAATAATTTAGCAGTAATAATACAGACAGAACAACCTGTGATGGATATGTGGCCATAATAAATGGAGGGAGGAGAGTAGCACAAGCAAAAGGTGGTAATGTCTTGTTGGGGGTACCTCGTACTGGCTAGCTGCTAACTCTACCTCATGTGGCCGACCCACCTATGTGTGAAGTATGAACTGTCACTTGCTTTCTCTATCCAGCGAGCTAACTCACACTTCACTTCTCACTCTATATTATTACTTCCTTCTAATTTTTTTTTCTATTTCTTGTTAAAGACAATTTCATTTGAAACACTGTCCAGTATTAAATATGAACATTTTTTTAAGTGGAAATTCGAATTTCAGTTCATCATATTACGAGAAACTGATTTTTTTTGCTAGACTCTAGTCAAGCTGGTATTTTCTTCCAAACATTACATGCTTTATGGATGGAACTTTCTTTTATTTCCACCACAAACTATTGTAAAATCAAATATTTTGGGTCCACCTCATAATCTGGTAGGATGCCTTCTACATTGTTTGCCTCTCCGCACTGACAATTTTTTTAACCACAGGAACCGTGCCCTAATTATATGCGCAGTTAACCAAATTTGGACCTCTTATATTACATGCAGTTTCATGAGGTGACCCGTATTCTTCATTGCTTATTTTATATAATATTCAGTCTTTTCTTGTGTAGCAGTTTCTTCAGTTTAAAACGTACATCTGCGTTCTAATATTATAAAGATACAAATGCATTTTTATAAATTGGAAATTTCATAAATATATAGTTTTGATAGAAAATTCGGATAGTTATTATTTGTTAATCAGAAGTCCTAACAATAAAACTGTAAAAGACAGCCATATTTTGCCCGGGAGGCTGGGACGAAGATTAAAATGGGCTTTGGACGCGGACTGGCCTCTTAACACAAACTGCACTAATAATAACAATTTGGTCCATATTTATTGGGCCTCAGCCAATATGGGCCCACAGAATGGACGAGACAAAACTAAAAGAGGGCAAGGTAATCGAAACTGTGGAGAGTGGGATTTGAACCCACGCCCTTTCGGACCAGAACCTTAATCTGACGCCTTAGACCAACTCGGCCATCTCCACTTTCACGTGACACCATGGCTAGATTCTTTTTACTTATAGTTGCGATTCTTAGATTTTTCCCAAATAAGTTTGGCGGTGAGACACAACTTTGAAATAAACTAAAATCTTCCAGAACAATTTGACTCGAAGTCCAATTTGCAGATGTAAACTTTTCAAAGTCTCAGTTTTCCTTTCTTCCTTTTTTTTTTTCCCACCTCAATTTTCTCTTTTTAAAAAATAATTCCATTTTAAATATTTAATATAGAATCTAATTGAAAGTTGATATTAATCTTATATATATAATTTATTTTATATATTTATTATTTTTTTAAAATTAACCTTAAGAGAAATAAGAAAAATGATTAGAATGTTTTAAGGAAAAAACATATCATATTAATTAATTAAATTAACATTTTTAATCCACTCAAATTAGTTAATTAAATTTTATATAAAAAAGGTATTATTATTATTATTATTATTATTAATTACATTACTTCACGCCATGGATAGTTTTTCCATTTTGTCACAGGGGGGCCACCAATAATTAAAAGTTTTAGAATTTTATTTAACATTGCATTGCCTCCTATATAAATAAATATGACGTCAATAAATTAATATAGCACCTACTGCCATATTGGCAACAATTATACATGATGCGTCTTATTAATACATAAAAGTAAAACAATATAGCCGGTTATATTACGCCTCTGGTCCTTAATATAAAATCTAATTGTTAAGTTAATTTTTGTCTTAAATATAAGACTTATTTTTTATATTTTCTAATTTTTTTCAAATTATTTTATGGGACACTCCCTCAACCATAATCAAGTAAGTAAGAGATGAAGGATATTAAGAAAAATGATTATGGTGTTTTAGAAAAAACATGTTATTTTTTATAATTAACTAACTTACTTAACTTTTTTAATATAATAAAATTAGTTAAATAGGTTTTATATTAAGAATGGAAAGAGTATTATTTCCACAAAATGAAAGGGGAGGTCCCATAATATAGCTCATATATTTTAATGTCGTTGAATCGGTGCACACTATATGACAAACATTTTTCTTAATTAATGTAAATTGTTTCGTGGGAATGGAAACTGGAAAGTAAAGTCAACATTGTTTTGCATTCTTAAAAAATGATCCCAAAACAAATAATGATGCTCTCGAAAACTTTTAATGAGCCGTGTGGGAAAATTTAAATTGTATTCGTGGAATCTAAAAGCAACCCCTTTTCGCAGTCATTTAAAAAATTTTATTGATGAAAATAACCTAAATAAAAATATCCATACTTTCTATATACAAAATTTGCACATACAGAAATTATTAGATCCTTTTTACAAGTAAAATTTTTTTATTAAATTTTTCTCAAATTTCCTTCTTTTTAATTATTACAGGATACAAACTAACATGACTGGCTCGACAATCAAGAGATGTATCAGATAAACTATTATTGATAATTTGATATGTAATTCTTTTTTTCGATGAGGTGATATGTAATTCTTATAAAAACAAACAAACAAAAATATCAGGTCATGATCATATTTATCATAGTAACCTCTTTATGTCCAAATACAAGATATTTTGAAAGATTTGGTTCCTTTCTCTTTGAAGTATCTGCAACGGTGAACAGGAAATCCAGCCTTCCAAGCAAAGAATGCATTATCCCTATCATTATCAAAACCAGTGCACACAGAAACAACTCAAAATCCATTTCAAAAATAATTATCAAAATTCCAGTAAAATTATTCCATTCTCCAGTGTTTAAATAATCCAGCAATAAAAATATTAATTATCTAACACAGAACATATTTTTTAAATATGAAAGTAATTTCCAAATTTATATTAAATTCAAATAAAAATTCCCTAATAGAAAGATGTGAAGAGAAAAAAGGTTGGCGATAAAAAAGAAAATGGAAAAAAAGAAGAAGAAGAAAAGATATCTCTACAAAACTCCAAGCCTACTGTTAGCCATCAAACCGAAACACGTCGACGTGTACAATTCCACCACCTCTTTTATTTAATTATTTTTTTATTGCTTTTAAATATCACAATAACCATATTAACCCGCAGACCACAAATTCTGTTTTTTTCTTGATCTTTTTCTTCCTCTCCCTCGTTCATCTTCATCTCTGTGTTCTCCGTAGTCTGTAATTCTCCCACATATGGGTCCGATGGTGGCGACCCAACTGGCGACCGGTCTGGGAGTGCTGGCCGGAGCCGTCCTGGTCAAATCGGTGATGGACCAGAAGCCCATGGCCGGACCCTTTCAGCGCTGCCCGTCCTGCAACGGAACCGGTCAAGTCTCCTGCCTCTGCTCTCGCTGGTCCGACGGCGACGTCGGATGCCGCACCTGTTCTGGTTCGGGTCGCATGATGTGCAGCAGTTGTGGCGGCTCTGGAACCGGGCGGCCCTTACCCGGAAAACTCATCGTTCGCCCGCCGAACCGCTCACCCCACTGATTCACAGGTCCGATTCCAAATTCGCCGTCGCAGATCCTCAATTAGCCTTAGATAAATCCTATACCCCCCTTTGTCTCAATATATATAGACACACAGTGTTCTTAAATCATAATTTTGTATTTGCAATTTCTAGAATTTTTTGCCGGGAATCCCCAAGTGATTGAAGAAAATCGAAGTGATGCTATAGAATTAGAAAGTAAATGGCATCTGAAATAGATTCTGGGGATGTGATTTTAGGATTGTAGTTTAGATTGTTACAGGGATGATGTATGGTTAAAGAAAACCGGTAATTGAGTTTGTTCCTGGAAGCAATCTGTTACTGACCAGATTTGGATTTTTTTTGCAACTGATGAAATTGAAAAGAGTGATTTAAATTTTAAAGTTTGTTAATTTCTGTGACTACGCTATGTTTTGTTTTGCAATATACTAGCTCCGGTCCTTAATATAAGACCCTATTTGACTTTTTGTTTGGTCCTAATTATAAGACCCCAATCCATATTATCTCTCATATTTATGTATTTTTTTTCCAAGATAATCCTTCTAATAATGATAGTTCTAACCAATACATTTAATTAGCAAAGATATTTTAAGAATAACAACACTTATTTATTACAAATAACTATCTTAACTTACTTCCTCAATCTCTTCAAATAAGTCAACTGGGTCTTATAATTAGGACCGGAGGTAGTAATACAATAATACAATATTCTGTTTGACTATTTTGATCATAAATATAAGACCCCAGTTCATTTTACTTATCATATTTATACACTTTTTTTTTAAATTTGCCCTTCTAACAATAATAGTTCTAGTCAATACATTTGATTAGCAAGGATATTTTAGGAAAAATAACATTTATTTAGGACAAACAACTAATTTAACTTACTTTTTTAATCTCTTTAAACTAATCAACTAATTCTTATAATTAGGGCTGGAGGTAGTATTTTAGTTTATGTCGGAAGTGATAATAACAAAACAATTTTAAGTATGTCGGCACCATGTTTACATTTCATATAAGTCTAAAGATAAAATTCTTTTTTTTCTCCGTAAATTATATTTAAAAAATTATTTATAAATCATTCCTAACAGATTTTAATTTGCATAAAAATAGTTAAGAGATGGGTAGTTCATTTTTCACTCACAAGCTAAGCTAATCAATTCAGGGTTGATGGAGGCTGAGTGGTGGAAATTAGGATGTGGATAGAAATTAATGATTTTTATGTTGAATGTTGTGGGGTGGCTAATTATGTTTAATTAATTAGTTAAAGCAAAAGACCAAATGAAGGATTTGCACAAATCGAGAGTGGATTTGAATTGTTAATTAATCGCATTATAAGCAAGTTGGATGCTATTTTCTTCCATTAATATTTTTTAAAACCTATTTTTCCCCTTTTGGTGATGTAATCTTGTGCGTATCAGCTGGCTCCCAAATTCATCCTGAAGCGTGACATTTCACGTAATGACTATTGAACTAAACTCTGTGTTTTGTTTAATTTTCAATTTTTTACTTATCGTTAATACCAAACTATTTAATACTCTACAATTTATTCAGAGTGAGTATTGTCAAATCCAATTGTAAATTGTGCATAGGTTTTTTTCCCCCAAATGTTCAAAACTTAGACTTAGAACCAAAACCTTTTAGATAAATTGAAATCTAAAACTTTTTATACTTTCTCTCGTTAGCATCTAATAATAAATTTATATAAATTAATAAAATTAGTTATTTTTGAAAAAAAAATAGATGTTGCCTTTCTTAAAGTATCCTTACTAATCAAATATATTACCTATAAGTACTATTATTATAAAAATTATTTTAGAAAAAATAAATAGATATAAGAGACAAAATATATTAAGTTCTTATATTTAGAACTAAAATAAAAGTCAAACGAACTCTTATATTATAAATACGAGAGAGTATTATATGATGAAAGATGGTGAAGATATTTATCACAAGCATTAAAAAATTAGATATAATCACTGCTGTTTCTATTTGGTGCCTCCAAATGTGGCACAGTGGCAGCATACTTTTCTTGGGCAACAAACTAGGTTGTGGAGTCACATGCCACAGACAGAAGGCCAAGCTCATCGAACAGCTGCCAAAATCAATTTTAACCTTTACGAGATTAATATTGTAAAAAAAAAGAAGGAATTTTTTGCCTTTTCTCAATGCCCGTGTAACCTGTACATTACAAGTTGCATAGCCATGAGGCAGCTTCAATGCAGCAATCCATTTTTAAACAATTATGCTTTCTCAATGTCTAAGTAAATCATTTATTTATTATAATTTGATGGGGAAAAAATAAATTTTAAAATCAATGCAAGTCTATAATTTCAGCCATTTATTACGTTTATGCAGATTTTTATCTTTCATTGATAGTTATGTTTCATAAAATAAGCATCTGAACGGTTGCGATGGAAAACAGGGTCAACATTTTCTTGCCACAAAAATAAAAAGCTATTAACATCAGTGCATCATCATAGCATTAGTCTATATGGTTATACAAATTTTTTTTCCGACCAGCAATATGGTTGTACGATTTGCTCCTATGAAGCAGATGTTTGATTATATTAAAGTTTGTTTATCTCATTGAAATATGACATTTCATTATAAAAATATGAAAATATGTTCCTTAAGCCGTAGACCCTTTCAACTACGACCGATTAAGTGTTTATTTAGAGCTAATTAATATAAGTATTTATAAGCCTCTTTATGTAAACTGAGAGAAAACTTCTCTTATAAATTTATTTTATATTCTATGAATTATGATTGAAAAGTTAGTTTTAAAAGATTATCCACTAACTCCAAACACGCGCTAAATTTGATGCTAGGGCTTTACAATTGTAAAATCCAGCATTATATGGTCACATCTTTATTTAAAATTTCCCTTACAGTTTTAAACAGTTATTTGCATAGTTGTTAAGTTAACTTGCTTATATTCATTATGTCAGAGTTTTCAATTTATCTCATGTAAATTTATAATAAAATAATATTAAATTCTAATATTTCAAAAACAGGACACATTGTCATATTTGATTGAAAATTTTAACATAATAAATATAAGGAACTTGATGTAAGTATTATCCTAGTATTAAACCCATTTATATAATTTTTTTTAAAATTTAATGTGCAAAATAATAAATCTCTCCAGTATCTAAAATTCCTAGAAACTCTGAACAAATATTTTTTGAAAAAAATTGACAGTTACAACAAAGTTTGGCCAATACTACAAATACGTGTTAGTAATATAATTTCCATATAAAGTTTCAACAACATTTGGATTCATTTATAAATAACTTTTCAAACGTAATTTATAGAATACGAGACTAAGAAGAGTTTTGTCTCGATTTACGTAAATTTGTTTAAAAACCCGTTTTGAAAAGACCTCCAAACAAGCCCTTAATCTTCTATTCAACAGACTGCATATCTTGAATCAGAGTTGTGTGCAGCTCGTAGATTGCTCCCCACGACAAGGTAAGAAGAAATAACATAAGGCACAAAATTTGAAGCAGCACGCACGTTTTAAATGTTGAACGCCACTGCCATTTAGCACACCCATATTTTAATTCCTTTTTTTATGACTATTGCTTTCCATTCTCCATTGTTGACTTGTGAATGTGAATGATTTGTCCCCGTATATTCAAAGGCCACTGCATTTTCCTTCTTTCTTTTGGATTAAAAGTCAGTCGTTCCCATTATATTATTCTAGTGCCCTTGACTCCTACCACGACCAACAATTTCTATATAAATTTTTTTCGGCATTAACGTCTTCGATCGGTTGTGCCCACCTTCCACAACTTTTCCAAGCTTCTTCCTTGCAAGAACTTCGACATACCACGATCCAGGTAAGATATATATAAATATATATATAGTATTTTACTTTGCAAACTAATGTGAATGCTACGTGAACTTACATTCATGGCATCTAACTTCAAATAAGTATTTGTACACTGATTGGATTATCACTATGTGCACCACATAGAGAAAAAAGCCACATTACAATCTCTTCATCACCCAAACAGATTACACAGTCACCAGTATTTCTCCCTGCTGACATATTCTCAGTCTTCTCACTTGGGTGAAAAAGCCTGCAATTTCCATTATAATTTGAACAATTCAGTTCACTTTTTTTTTTTTGTCAAAAGAGGTCACGCAAAAGTAATTGAGATGTAGTAGGAGTCGGTTAAACTTACAGCAAAAATGGTGGCATGGCCAGGGTCTGCTAAGTGGGCAAAGAGGTTGTCAATAGGACCAGTGCCAGTGTAGATGTGCTGGAACCAAGCACCCATCACAGCCAACATGGCCAATCTTCCATTCTTAATCTCTTTTGTTCTCAACTCTTTGACCTTCTCAGGCGAGCCGGAGCCCCAGCCCAATGGGTCAAACCAGAGCCCACCCGGGTAACCCACATCAGTGCCTGTGAGCTTGTTGTTGGGGAAGATCGGGTCGGTGTTGACGCTGCCGGGCTTGAGGATGTCGGCCCATCTTCTTCCCTCTGCCCATCCGATGAAGATGAGCTCAATGATGAAGAGGGTGGTGGTGTCTGTGAAGTATTCCAGCTCTCCAGCAGAGTACCACGAAGGAGTGTTGAGAATACCAATCTTTGTTAGGAACTCTGGGATGAAAATTCCAGCAGCACCCAGCATTGCCCATCTGCAATGAACCAGCTCCGCTTGAACATTCCATCTCAGGCTCTCTGGATCAGATCCTATCAAAATCACACCAAACCAAATCCCTTTTCTGTCACTTCCTTCCCAAACAAGTACATCAAACCAGTTCAATGGCATTCAAGTATACTCTAAAACTTGTTGAAAAGAAATTCACATATGATTTTACTGTAATGTAGACCACGCCTGATGAAGTTCCAGTGACAGCAAATATCAAGATTCAAGAATCACTGTAGCTCAAAACGATGACAAATAACACCTAAGAGATTTGATATACTAATATCTGAAGTTTTAGGCAACATCCATCCTGTGCTTGAGGCTATAGAATATCTATTGGATCTTTTCCACAAGACAGTTTTAAGTCATATGAAACATGTAATCTCCAGCAACATTATATCTCAGAGCATAGTATTCAAACTACTGAGAAATGTGAGGTGAAACTGAATTTCAATCGAATAGAAGGACATACCGAGACCGAGAGGATCAAAGCCGAAGTCTCCGGGAAGGCTGCCGTCAAGCCATGGAGGAGGGGTGCTTCCTGGGAACCAGAGAGGTCTGTCAGGATCAGCCGCCGCCGCACACACTCTGCTACTCACAGATCGTCCTCCGACTGTAAACTTGTTCACCCTCAACTTCCTTCCGCTCAGAAACGAAGTCCTTGTTCCCAAGATGCTTCCATTCTTCTGAGAACTGCATTCAACATTTCATTCACATGATTGTGTACAATAAAATCAATATAAAGCATTCCAAAACATCCACACCACATGGTCGTGAAATTTACTCTGTGTAACAAAGACGGCGTCTTTAAGAAAAGAGGATCAAGAGAACTTGCCTTGGGGTGGCGATGGCGACGGCGGAAGAAGCACAGGCGGAAGCCATGAGAGCTGAATGATGGGTGATTGATCTGGTTGATGAAGGTGAGAAACAAGGAAGGAGTGAAAATTTGTTAAAAGAGGTGAAGGCTGTATGTTCTTCTTATCTGGAAGGATAGGATTCTGAGGTAGCAATTGGATGATAGGGGTGCCACGTGGCATGCAGAATCGGATACAGAAGCCGATTCCCTGACACTTCACAGGCTGACGTGGATTCATCAGAATCTGAGTCGTGTGGTTCAGATTTGAGGTTTCAATTTCACAGGCCATGTGCCGCTCATTACTCAATCTATTTCTTCACTCCAACTGCTGGATTATCCTCTCCATGGGGCCCTCCGCGCCTAACAAAAATCCTCCGTTCCTTCCTGCCTATTCATTTCCCCCCTGTTTCCTCATTCATTTTTATTTTAAAATTTAAGTATGTTGCTTATATTTCAATTTCCCTCACAAAATACGTTGTCAAGTAAGATAACAAGAAGCCTAACCTCTTTAAATGAGATCCCTTTTTGAGTAGTAAATTAGATTTTTTTTTTTTTTGCCAGCGAGTAGTGAATTAGATGACAAATAATTTAATTTTATATTAATAGTAAGCAAATAATAAATAATTTCTATACACGCGCACACACTAGAGTTAAAAACTACCGGTTAGTACCATAACAAAGGTAAGCCCCAAGGATTTTTTTGTTACAGAAGAGGGCAGAGCCCAATAGAAAAAATCAGGAACCACATGATGGGGGAATTAATCCCAAACATTCGTTCGCAGCCAAGGCCTGCAACTGTGGTGGACAGGCAACAAAAATGGAGGACTTCAAGAACCCTTCCTTTGCAAGGGCATCTGCAAGCTGATTTTTATCCCGAGACATATGCTGAAGTTTGAGATCCCAAGGACGCGCCACTACTTTCTGAATTTGGATAAATAATAGACTAGCATTGGGAAGAGTTTCTCCTTTTTGCAGCATCATGATCACATTTAGAGCATCAGACTCAAGAATGACTCTTCTATAACCCAAGTCCCAAGTAAGCTCAAGTCCCTTAAAGACTGCCCACTGTTCAGCTTCAGAAGCAGTTGAGATACCGATCTTATGAGAGAATCCCATAATCCAAGATCCTGTATGATCCCTAAGGACACCTCCACAACTTGAGATACTGTTAGATCTTGACATAGCCCCATCAACATTTAACTTAACCCAGTTTGGAGATGGTGGTTGCCAAACATGTCTCAAAGGTTTGGGGGAGCTAAACATTCCCTGTTAACATGGTTCTTCCAAGATTGAACAATAAGAGCAACGGGATTATCAGGTTTGACAAACCCATCCTTGTAAACAGATTCATTCCTCCATTTCCATAGTTTCCAAATAGTAAAACCCCACAGTAAGTCCTAGTTTTCAGCAGCACATAAGCCCATATTTCCTTTTAGGTTAAGGGAAAACCAATCGCGAAGAGGCGCTGCAAAGAAAGATGACATATACCTGGGCTCTAGGCGTTGTGACCAAATGTTTTTCGCATAATCACAGTCCCAAAGTATGTGTAGTGTATCTTCAATTGCATCATTGCAACAAGGATAAACAGCAGAAATAAGAGACGAGGAGCTAATCCAAGCATTGGTAGAAAACCCGTTATGAAATGCAATCCACATGAAAACTTCGATACGCTCAATCTCTTGCCATTTCCATATAGCTTTATAAACTTTACAGTGAGGGTTGTCCGGAATTTTTTTCGAATTTTTTTCCAAGAGAAAATAGGCACTTCTAATGGGAAAGGTTCCATCGCTAGTTGCACTCCAAGAGAGAGTATCCTCGCCTGCATCATCCATAGGAGGTAGCATAGATATTAATCTCAGTAGAATGTCCTGTCTTTTGAAAATCCCAAGCACCTTGATTCGTCCAGTCAGAAACTTTACTCTGTTCTTCTCGAAGTGTTAAGGGTCTTCGACAGGAATCTATGATCGATTTTTCAGGAAGAAGCCAATGATCAGTAAAAAAGTGAACAGAATGACCATTTCTTATACTCCATTTGGACCCCATCTTAATAATTCCCTGTTGTTGAGATATGAACTTCCAAATTGGAGAGTCTCCTTTACGAGCATCAAGCAAATTTTCCTCGTTTCTAATCATATATTTTTTAAACAGAACATCTGCCCAAAGACCTTTGTCTCCAGTAATGAGTTTCCATGCTAATTTTGTCAGAGAAGCCCATAGGAATTTTGATTTCACAGTGTATATTGATTAATAGTGAATGGACATCAATGGGCCAGACCAAGAAATGAACAGATTTTATGTGGGCTGGGTCACCATGAGCCGGGCCCAGAAATTGGGGAACCCGCTATCCCAAAATTATAAATATTGCTCAACACTTGGAGGCTCCAAGGTTACGAAAGGATAGGTCTCTTTCTCTCTATTACTTTTGGTCAAGAAAAGGAAAGCAGAAATGTCTGGCCTTTAAAACTTGATAGTTCATGCACAAATTATTGTTTTGGTAACTACTCATATTTATCTCTTTAGGGATTCTTTTGTTTGGGCCAACTACCTTTATTGCTATGTTATTGTATATATCTGAAGGGCTTGATCTGCGTGTATTGTTTGAGAAATAAGAGCGAAGTCGAACAATTATTTCCTATATTTTAATCATTGAAACTCAGAAGTCGTACAAATCTTGAATCAATTAGATTTGGATTTTGAAATATAGGCTAGTCGAGGAAGCCTACGAGTATTATACAACGTGCAGATTTGGATCTTTTATATGGTTTTGTCGTAGTCCTTTATTCAAATTTAAAAAAGAATAAACATAACGTGCAGATTAAAAGGGTTAAGGGCCGAAGCATTAGCCATAGCCAGTGGATGGATGGGCGCTTTTTGGGCCAACCAAATTTGCAGGCCTCCATTTTAAGAATTAAACAATGAAATCAACTGTTTTTTTTTTAGAATTAACAGACTATTGGTTGAGATAGTAAACAATTTCATCCCCATAAAGAGAAGAATATATGTTTGAATTATGAAAAACATGCTTCTTGGAAAAATTTTAACCTGCCGACTCGATAGAAATTAATCTCAAATTCAAAATAATTTGAAGATACTCTAAGTTGCACAAAAAAAAAATTGTCTTCTTAGATAAATTGTGATCCATCTGATCTTTATATATAACTAGATAATTAATTTATAGTCCTTGTTAGGAAAGTTGATTAAGTTATTTTTTCAATTAAAAATACGTATTAATTTTTTTGAATTACCCTATTGAATCATGTGTGTTGGAACCACCCTTGATAAAAATTCTCTTAACATGTGTGATCAATATAGATAGTTTGGAAAAGTCATAAATTTAAGAGACATGGGAGATTGACATATTATGTTTAAGACTAAAATAAACCCTTAGCTCACTCCTATATTTAACATCAGAGGGATGTTTTGAAATTCACTTTAAATTCTCATCCAACCAATGCTTTATATTTTATAACAAAAAACTGCCCAACTCACTGAAATTTTAAAAATTAATTTTTGATGCCATGTAAGTAAACTTTTAAATCATGAATTAATGTTGGAGTCGCTTTTAAATAAACTTTTAAATCATGAATTAACGTTGGAGTCTCTTGTAAACAGAGAATAAAAGAAGGCATCCCATTTAATAAACTTGAAACTAGTGAAAATTGTATAAGTGAAGAGGACTCATAGATCCAAATTAAATATTTTTAAAAAAAACAATTAGGTGTAATGAGATTTGATATCTGACAAAAGCCGCGACCAGGAGATAGATGTTTATAAAGGGTTTGGTGTGAAACTAACGCTTTTAAAGAAGCAAATAGTGGTTATCAATGCTCCATGTGTTAATATTTCCATTATTTGGTGTTTGAGGTCTACCAGCAATATCAAATCCTGCTTCACCACTGATTTAAAACACAACCCCAACCCAAGAAAAAAAAAAGATGATAATAATTATAATGTTTTATAAAAGGAGAAATTAATGATATGATTTGGTAAACAAAATCATTTTGAAAAAAAAAAATCTTTTTTCCATGCAAGCATGTGCTAGTAATTAGTGCTTGCTATTATATTCCCTTTGATCATATATGTTTCTTCTGAATTATGGCTTTCATCCTTAGAATCTCTCCAAGCTCGCCATTAATGTGACACTAATCAACCAAGTGGGGTCTCCTGGCTTCCCTCTTCCTCCACATTTTATTTCATTGAGTCATATTTTTTAAGTTCTATCACACAAGTCTCCTTCTTAAACTTCTGTTTTTGTGTAATTTGATCGTGAATCTCCCCAAAATTTTAAATTTATGCAATACATGTTTGTATGGAAAACAGCTCAAATTTTAAGGATGGTTCATGTGCATAGCTCAATGGTATCTGGACATGCTCCGTTAATATGAAGCAAATTATTTGATAATACCATATTACAAATGCAAGTATGAAAAATTAGGGACCTTGTTGTCAAAATACTTTATAATTAAAAAATATTTGATGCAGTGTATGTATTTTTCCCCAACATTTTCAATCAAACTTCAATAAACGAATAAATTTTAAAAAGAGAGATTAGTAATGCATTGGAGAGTGGGATTGGTGAGGTGTGGGACTTGCGGAGTCAACAAGCATCAATTTGACTGGGAAGGAGTGGCAAGGCAAGCCACACATATATAGCCCTGAAAGTACTAAATAATGAATAATGAAATGCCCATAATCATTTTATATATATATATACATACCCTTAATAATATTTATAATAATAATAATAATAATAATAATAATCATGATGATGATGAGAATAATGAATGATGAGTAAAAACAGGGGTTGGCCTAAAAAGGAGAGTTTATGTTGTCGCCTTCTCCCAAAACTTGGACCCCCACAAATCTCATTATTATGTTCTTCTAACTGTTTGCGTTTGTTCACGCAACTCATCATATAACTGCACATGTTGCTGCTCTCAATTTTGGTACCTTTTTTCTCATTTTGATTCATACCACCTTTTCCTATTGACTATTTCCTCCTTAATTTCTCATCCCTTCCCATATAAACCCCCAACTAATCTCTCTCTCTCACCCATTTCATTTTCTATTTTATCATTCCTATTGATTTGTATACATAATAAAGAAGTTTCATAGACAATTACAAATGCATATAATTAGAACATATATTCTAAAAAAAATTAATACGTGTTTGTTATAAATAATAAATTTAACTGATATTTTTTATTTTTATCAATCGATTGTCTAACTTTGATATTAAAGATTGCATGGAACTAATTTTTTTTTTCCGCTAGTAGACGACATATTAAGTGGGGTCTTGAGGTTTAGAGGCCACAAATTGGTATTTTGGCGGTGAGAAAAATGACAGGATAGGATACATGCAATAGTGTTCACTTTAATTTAAATTCCCGTTCCTTAATATTGTTGAACAATAATAACACTGATTGATTAGTGAGTTAGTTAATTAATTAATTAATAGAAGTGAAGAGTGGAGCATGTATAATTATTGTTGAGAAGAGCAGGAGAGGCAGGTTTAGACAGACGTCATGATAATTTGTGAGACATGTTGTGAGTGATATATATGTATTACATATTTTCTTATTATGAGGAACACCAAAATCAGATGCACAACTTCACAAAAACCTGAATATGTATGACTAAAATGATGTACTAATTATCATGAATTTTTAAGGAACGTGATCATAATGTTCAACCAAACTTTCAACCTAATCATCATCCATTCCTTAAGCAATTTGGGTATATATGTTTCTCTCTTCCACCAATTGATTAATTAATCATCCCCTTTTAATTAATTTCCAATTCACACATCATTAATTTGGTATATTATATTGTTCCCTTTTTCTCGTGGGTTCCTAAGTTAAACTTTCAAATTTCAAACTAATCATCCATTCCTTGAGCAACTTGCTTCTCTTTATATAATTCTCTCCAATTTCCATTCTTTACACTGTTTTCATCCTTATCATTAAAGAAAATTAAATTCATCTTGGCAGGTTTCAGTTCTTCTCGTTTTTTTTTTTAATCCAGAAGCTATACATTAGAAATACTATTCCTTGTTACTCATCCTAGTCTTAATTATAGAAGCTAGTTCATAATTTGTTTTAATTAAAAATATAAGATCTTAATTTGTTCTATCTTTCTGAAGTTATAACATTTTCACCAAATTCTTTCTATTAATTGCACTTATTAATAAGGGATTTTTCATCAATGAATATTTAAGTTCTAATGCAAGTGAATGATTAAATGAGATATTTTCAAAAAATTAATACACATATTTTATAAATAACTAACTTAACTAATTTTTTTAATATCTGCAAATTAGTTACTAAGGTTTTTATAATTAGGACTAGTTAATGAAACGACCTTCTATAGTTACATGTCATCTGTATATATGAACTTGGCGAAGACTTTTCCTTGTGGATAATTAATTAAAAACGTCTAAACTATACTAATATTTCAGCCGAAATTAGTTTTCTGAAGTCACTTTTCCTTGTGAAACACCTTCATAAAATATAAAGATAAGATACCGACCAAGCATCATGATTTTGTTGATACATAAGAAAAAACAAAATTTGCAACTGTTAATAACTTGCTAATGGAACCTAATTCATACCTATCTAGCTAATTACATTTACATCACTCTGAAACCACATATGCATTGGAAAAAAAAAAATTTAACGTGCACTTTTTTGTTTGGTATCTAAGTTTTCAATTAAATTAGGAACTATGAAGTATGAGTTTATAAAAAAAAAAAATTGACTAATGAATTCAAAGAGAAAAGTGCATGCATATTGTTATGATAATATATTTATAAATTATATAAAAATATTATCCTTATATAAATATTATACAATCATGTGTGCTGGTCTTTTGGGCGGCCATATATCATCATCCTGCTGATTATGTTCTCCTCAACTCCATACTACTTACCTTAATTATCATTATCATGAACACAGATTAGGAGATTTTCCATTAATTATAATATCACAAAACAAGTTGGTTGCTATCAGTTTTTATTTTTAATAATATTTTTTTGGAGGCGTAATTAGATAAAATGTAGCTGTCAAAATGACGTATTAACTTGTTATTATCTTTGTCCATATGCATGCATATATGTTGTATACGATTCAATTAAAGCCACAAACTCAGCATATTTATAAAATAATAATACTGATGTGTGATTAGATACGAAAACGCCAAAGTTTCTTATCGTTATTAGTAATTTAATTTGTGGTTGGCTTTATTTTAATATTCTTTTTCCCTCTTTAGTTTTCATGTTGAGGTAAGAATCTGGAAATTAAGAATTAATTATGCCGCTTAATTTTTTCTCTGTTTCGTTTCTTTTGTGTATTAATTATGTGTATTTTTTAGAATGACGTGGGATTTCATGCTCACCTTTGACGT